ACCATTTGTTTGATTCATTGAAAGCTGTTAGAAGCCATCACTTCCTTTATAGGTTTGCTGTTCATAATATACTTTAAGGTTTCTTGATGTTTGTATTAACGCCTTTGTAATGTGATTCACCATATCCCATTTAATTATGGAAAAAAATGAGTCTTTAATTAGTATGTACTCCAGACAACACAAGGAAACAATTCACATATCTAAACACATGCTCGAAAACATGGAGAACAAGAACATGACTAGGAACAGCTAGCATGGATTTACCAAAGGTAAATTCCACCTAAGAAACAAGATAGCTTTGCATGCTGAAATGATTGGCACTGTGGGCAAGGAGAATACAGTAGGATATGTTGACTTTAGCAAGACCTTTGTAATGATCTTCTATAGCCAAGTCGGTGAGATACTGGCTGAATAAGTGAATGATAGACAGAAAATAGTTTGGACTGCCAGGCTTAAAGGGTTGTGATCAGTTATCCAAATAGAGTAAACAAGTAGTTTTCTCTGCAGTGAAGCTAATGTCCCCCTACTGATTTACATCTCAAGTGGAAAACCTTCCAATACCTAAAGGGGGCCTACAAAATATCTGGAGAAGGCCTTTTTACAAGGGCATGTAGTGACAGGACAAGGGGGAATGGCTTTAAGCTGACAGAGGGTATATTAGATCAGATATTAGGAAAAAGTTCTTTACTGTGAGGGCAGTAAGGCACTGGTTGGACAGGGCTTTGAGCAACCTGGTCTAGTAGAAGGTGTCCCTGCCCATGGCAGGGGGGTTGGAACCAGATGACCTTTAAGGTCCCTTCCAACCCAAACCATTCTATGATTCTTTGATATCTTCTAATGACAGTATCCTTGCCTTTGATGAGGTTCCTAAAAGGGCTTCTTTGCTCTACAAGATTTTCTGGTTTATTTACTGAATCTGTAAGAACCCAGTGATGGTAAGGTTTCTATCTCTTTATTAAATTTGGTAGAAATCAGTCACTAGATTGAAAAAATAATTGGGAAGACAAGTATTAAGGCACTAAGGAACATGTATTCATATGTCTTCGCAAATGTAATACACACACATGTATATGCCACTTAATGAGATTCATTTCCTTAAGCAAGCAAAATAAATATACCTCCGCAGAAACACACACACAAAAGTCCAATGAATAACACCCATTCCCGATGCTTTCATTAGAAAAGGCTATTTTCAACAAAACAATAACTTAGGATCAATTACTAATATTTCATATGAGCAAACTGCCCACTAATAGAGGCAACACACACCTATGTTGTAAAACTCCAGGAAACAAGAAGAAAAGCAAGGTAAATCACCACTTTTTATTTATGTTATTTGTACTCTTCCAATTATGAAAACCCATTTAAGGGATGATGATCCCAGCAGGATTACAAAGGGTCTGCATCAGCACTTCCAGCTGCTCCAGCCCTCTCCAACAAACACACTCAGCTTCTGCTCTCAATTACTCAATGTTCATTGCAATCACTCCCACTTCCAGCTCCCCACCTAGCTGGAGAGAACTCCAGGCAGTAATAGCCTCCTCTGCCCCCATGACCTAGGACAATCTGGGATAGGCCACGGCACCACCTGTGCCTGCTATCAAACACATACTTCTAGCTGTGCCTGCAAGGCAAACATTAAAAATAGTTGGCAATGCTGACAGCTCCAAGTCAAAAATTCATGGGAGGCTCTTTAGGCTTGCTTGGCTGTGTTTTCACTCAGTAATTTCCACTCTTTTCTGTGCCTGTGCAAATAAGGAGACCATCACACCCAGTCACCACCACATCTTCCCCATCACCTGCTTGCTGTCCTGAACTTTTTGTGCTGGTACCTTGGGACCAATCCACCTCAGTCGATGGAGGCCGTGGGTAGTGACATCCATATGAACCAGACCTACTGCTGGCATGGGGCTGAAAGGTTAACTTCTGTGTGCAAAATGAAAAAAGATGAAGGTCTTGAAGCACGTTTCAGCAGTAAAACTTAAACTGATGTAACAAGTGATACTGGGAAATCACTGCAAATGTGTATTGTGAACGCTGACAGATCCACTTAAACCTAACTTGCACCTTCTTTTTTTGTACCAATATCTATCAATCCAAACCAAAATTTAGTCAGTAAAAAAGGATATTCACAGGTAGATTTACACAGATTATCTAACCATGTGACTTAAAATTGGCTTGTTTAAACTCACATAGGTTTTGAGGCTAGAAGAGGTATAAATTGCTAGCATGATCTTTCCAACTGCCAGAGTAGAAAAATTATATATTCTAAAGAATACTAATCATCTAAAAGAATTCTAAAATTATTCTAAGTGAAAATTATCATCTCTTTGGGAGATGAAAGTTATGGAGGCAAGATTCATTAAAATGCATCATTAGGTACAGGAAATACAAAAGAGTGATCATAAAGCAGCACAAACTAAAACCCTGAACTACTGAAGGTATTCCTGAAGGATTATCCCAGAGTCTTAAAAAGGTGATTTGGATTTGATCAAGAGATTTTAAACCAGGAAAGAAAATGAGTAAAAATTAAGCTGCAGTTATGCCAGTGGGAGCTCGGTAACTGAAGTGTTGTAAGAACTTCGTTCTACGTTTATAATATACAGTAAAACTTGCACATTGGCATTCAGGATGAAAGCAGTACATATGCAACTTTAACTTATATTTATCTGTTTTTCTGTAATTTCAGAGCATGTAGGATGGTCTTTCCCCAACTTTCCCTCAATCCATCAGTTCCCTCCTACTCAAGTCAGCACCAAAAGTTCTATTATATTTTTTTTTGCTTTGAGAAGTTTAGGGCAAAAGAGATAATAAAAAGAAGCTGCACTGCTTTTTGTACTTCAGTGCATACCCAAGTTGCCATGCTATCATCCTTCTCTTCTTCTCATGCATTCCCTGTTATCCAGCTTTCTAGCACTTGATGGCCATCTGTGCCATCATGAATGCAGCTCTTAGGACAAGTACACATTCTTGTTTTGTAAGGTGCCTACCATATTCTAAGTGCTTATAAAAATATGAATGATTATATTGCACAGCCATACCTGGCCACCTTATCTTAAACCCTTTTCACCTGTGGGCCACAGTGTAAGTCTGGGAAGTTAGCAGGGAGATTAATGAGTAAAAGGATTCATAATTAAAATAGCAATTTCCATTAGTTTCTCAGAAAATAATCTGACTTATTGACAACACTGCCTGTCGGCCAGCTGAAGTAAGTACAGTCATTAGTTAAGCTGTTTACAAGGCTGTAATTTCACTCTATGCTCAACTGAAAACATCTTTGACCATCAGGCTAAGACAAAGCCTGCTAAAGTCAGTTCAGACAACAGCAGTTCCAGAAGAGGGACTGCAAATAAAGGAGCAGATATCATTTCCCAGGCTAAATGAAATACTAGAAAGATACTTGGGACGGGCTAGGATACATCCATTTATTATTCATAACAGATTACTATTTATTTTCATTTGCAGTTTTTACCTACTAGAGTAACAGGGGCGCAGTTACATAGAGCAAGGTCTATAGACAGTTTATCCAATCCTGTAGATTTTTTCACTGGCAATATTACTGCCTGTTACATTTTGTGGGTTTAGCAACCACTTTTCTAAAATTTCTGTTTGACTGGTTTGAATTTATTCATTTAATCATGCAGATTAATTTCTGCAGGACGTCTTTACATAAAGGCATCTTGTTAAGGAGCTAAACCCAAGTCCTTGTTGTTGTCTGCATCACAGAAGTAAAAGTCACTGTGTATCTCTTAGATTCTCCAGTACTGAGCAACACATGTTGGATCCTACCCCAGGTTATCATTCTCAAGGTACTCTTCCCTTGAGGCTGTGGTGTAGATTCCAGAAGGCTCTGCACATACTGGAAGCAAGTTTGATGAAATAAGGTGAGAATTGGGTGATTAAGCCTTCTGTTTAAACTCTTGTAGGACTGTCTCACAAGACCTTCACACTCCTATATCCCCATTAGATGAAAACTAACTGATTTTAGTTTATCCTTCCTTCTTTGTAACACAGACTTCAAAAAGAGCTCAAAGTCGGCATGCGACATCATCTCTGTACCACATCAGTAATACAGCGGCTTTTTACTTTTCCCGGGCTACATGTACCTATCCTACTCCAAAGCAGGCTTCTTTAAGTGCCATTTTGCCATCAGGTTCTGACAGCCCTGCTCACCCACATGCAAGGCAGCTGAGATCAATGTCACAATCAGGTAGGACTGTGGCAGGTAGGACAAGGTCAGTCGGTGGTCCTGACCCTGTCTCTGTCACAGCCCTTACAAACCTCTACAAAGCACATCCGCATCTGGACCGAGCTCTGACAGTACATGTCTGGACGTTACAGGACTGCCTCTTCACAGTGTGTTTCACTCGATAGAGACACACTTTGTTTGATTTAAATGGTTTTTTCCTTATCCTCAGCCAAGAGATGCTCACTCTCTCTTTTGTTTAATATTCTGTCTTAATGAGACTATTTCTATTTTTCATTAAAAATGAGCAATTTCATCCTGCTGCAGAGTTGTCCTTTTCTTTTACATTCATATATTAAGTCTAATTTGCAAGTATATATAAAAATTCCTTGGGGACAAAAATCCGTCTTATCTTAAACCACACAGTACACTCCACATATAATATTTTTCCAAGAATCGGTGTGTACTTCCCAACCCATTATTTATTAATAGGCTTACCATCTGTATTCATCTTTAAATTCCACCAATTAATACACCCAAGCCTGGAAACATTGTGGGTACAGCTTTCATAATGTGCAAAATCTGATAAGCAATTCATTTTACGATGAGGAATTTAACCCAATACCAAAGAGATTGCAAGAACAGATTTGTTGCAAAGACTTAAAATAAATTGATTTAGTTGGATAAGACAACTTTCACAGGCATTCATTTAAACAGTGAACTTTACTAGCTGCAGAGAGTTAACAAATGTGCTACAAAGCTCTTCAACTCCCACACAAGCTGACTCATACAAGATAACAAAACTATTAGTTCTTGAAAGAACTCTATATTTTTCTTTATTGTTCCAATGACTTTCCCAGTTTTGAGGGGCACAATTTCAGAAGTGTACACTACAGAGAAAGCTATATTCAGAGATAGATGGGTGACCAGGTTATAAATCAAGGGAAAGAGTCCTGGTGACAAGTGCTTTATGTCTCCATCCCAGCTGCAAAATCCACCCGAAATGCAGTAATTTATCCAACTGCATCCACTATTTTTCCCACTAGCTAGCAGCCCATTCCAAAGCTAGCACAATCGTTGTTCAGTTCCTTCTTTTCACTGCATCCCTCTCATCTCATCTTTCTTTTTTTGTTGCTCTCATTTCAGAACTTGCGCCACATGTCTTCAGTTAATTTGCCCACACTCCTCATTTATGGGTCCAAATGTCATTTTCTGTGACTCACATGTTTTCTTCTAATACTTTTTATCTCAGTTCCTCCCCAGTGAACCCTTTTCGTTTCTGCTCGATCAACACAGTCCTGTCAAACACAAATCTGAAGTTTGTGATTTGTAAATGTCAAATTTAGATCAGGTATGTCTTTGGTTTAATTTTGATTTGTTTATATTTCCATTGCTACAGTTACTTCTGGGATCGTTATTTCTTTGTGCAATGGATCTGACTATATTGTTACTACAAGTAGTGACTTGCAGAGCACGTAACACAAGTGTAACCTTGTGTCTTCCTTCTATTTTGCCTGACTTGGGTCCAAATACAGATAAGTAACAAAAACAAGATCACAAAATCCCTTGGTGTACTGGTCTTTGTCTGGAAATTTGGACTTGGGCAAAGAGGAGGAACACACAGCAGCTCCTTCACCCTGACACCCCTTGTTTTTGCTGAGTGAAAGCCAGATCACGAGTCAGAACTACCTGTGACCTGAACCTTCAGGTACTATCACTGCAGAGGTGCTGCTCTACCACACACATCAATTTGTTTATACATAGCATTAGGAAAATAAGCCAAATTATTGAACCGTATGGGATGGATTAAGTCTTGTACACGTAGGTCCCTGAGAAGTCAGGAACGCCAAATAGCAGCCAAGAACAAAAATGCTTATAACAGAAAGCCTGCTGTGTTTATGACAGGAAGGACAAAAAAACTCCTCAAGTTGAGAGAGGTTTGTGGGAAAATGTTGCCACACTGGAAAGGGGGCTCCATAAAAGAGCTGATCAGAGGAACCCCAGTGATACCTGATGAGAAGCAGAAATTCCCTAGTCATAGAATCATAGAATGGTTTGAGTTGGAACAGACCTTAGAAATCACCTAGTTCTATTCTCCTGCCAGAGCTGATGGTGTATCTGAAATCTGGAAAGAAGTAAGGGAAGGAAGAAAGAGAAGATCAAGTTTGGATTAAGGTCAAATTTTAACTGGATGTGGTTATGGTGAAATTGCAGAAGGGGAGGGAGGGTATGCAGAGTGGTTTTGGATAAACCTTGTCATCAAGAATTGGAATTCTTGCATCAGTCTTGAAAAGGCTTAACAGAAACAAATAAAACTCCATGCTGATCTGTACACTGGTATATACAAATAAGATTAACTGCAACTACAACTTGATCTATTGATTAGATGCCACCAGATGATGAACTGCGAGGTAATGGCAAACTATTACCCAATTCAGTCTAGGAGCGGTGGAGTAAATCAATACATAGCAGATATCTGACTTTTTTTGATGGTTTTGGGGGAGGAAAACCTGCAAGTTGCTACATTCTTTTAGGTATGCACAGTACAGATATGTACCTTAGGAGCTACATTTTGCTCTTAGATTTCATGGAAAAATTACATGTTTTTTCTCAGCTGACTTCAGTGGACTAACTGGACCATCATTATGACAGCCGTACTCCCAGTAGTACCAGAAGCTTCATTGCTCAAGCTACATAATGGATTTCTGCCTGAGAGGTAAAAAGAGGAAAGTCTGTACAGGGGATGCAGATAATACCTGGAACTTTTCCATGGCTGGAACATCCAGCTTAAGTCAACTGTGGAATTCTCATTAAAATTCTGGAACATGTGGCTTTCATCCTGTCCCTTATGCAGAGATTAGACCTTGCTGCCCCTTAAACTTAATTAATTTTGACAGTGTTTATGCCATTATTTCTAGAAGGTGGAAGAAGAATATTTTTGCAGTTGTCAGTTTGAATATTTGCGGAGTTATAGCACTCTCCAGTTGAAAACCCAAATTGTAGAATCAGCAATATCAGTGACCAGATGTCATATACTTCAGTGCTGGGATAAGTATGATATTATTGTCTCTCCAGATTTAAAACCTCATTGAGATGACAAATATGAAAAGGAAACTATCAGTTCAAAATGCTATGGCTTCAGGTTAATACATTTAATTGGACTAAACAATGGAAAAACATGGAAATACTGCAGCAAGGCCAGTTAAGGGCCATCAGCATGACTGTGGCTGAAGAACAAGATGTACAAGGAAAAGATGAGAAACTTGGCTTTATTCTATCTGGAGAAAAGAAAGCTCAGTAGGGCATCTTACTTCTGTCTTCAGCTACTTGATGGAAGAAAACAGAGAAGATAAAGCTGCTATTCTCAGAGGGGAATGGAGATGCAACCAAAGACAACAGAGAGAATCTGGGACCTGCAAAATTCCTATTAGATACTAGGAAAACCTCTTACACTATAAGGGCAGTCAAATACTAGACCAGGTTTCCCTGAGGGGTTATGAGTCCTCCATCTTTGGATTTGTTTGAAATTTGACTGTATGTGGCTCTGAGTAATCTGATCTAATTGGATCTGATGTCCATAAATTTGTCTCATCTATTTTGAACCTGCTGACTTTTGTAGCAAGAAAATCTAGCAGTCTTTGAAGTAAAAAAAGTATTGTTTCATCTTAAACCAGCCTCCTATTGGTTTCACCACACTTTCTGGCTTGGAGAATACTTCACCAAGTATTCCTAATACTGAGGAATTTGCCAAAAAATAAACAGTTCTGCATTCATCTTGTCCAATATCTCCACAGTTTCCTAGAGCTTAATCATACCCCCACAGCTTTCTTGTCTCTTGTTTGAAATGTCTCAGCCTTTAGAGTTTCTCCTCATAAAGCAGCTACTTTGTCCTCTTAATTATCTTAGCTGTCTTCTTTGTACCTTCTCCATCCTGTCCTTGATATGCAGAGACAAGAATGGCATTCAGAACCCAAGATGTGGATGCTACAAGGTATTATATAGTGATAAAATAACTTTCCCTATCTTATTCTTAATACCCTTTCTTATGTTTTCCAACATTTTGTCAGCTATTTTTGCTGTTTCACATCAATCCAATAAACAAATAAAATTACTTGGTTTAGTCATTAAACAAAATATTATTAAACCCATCATGATATTATCATGATATGTATTAATCTGTCTGAACTGAACTGCAAGCTTAGACCCATAGAATGGCCATGGGCAGGGACACCTTCCACTAGACCAAGTTGCTCAAAGCCTCATCCAACTCGTCCTTGAACACTTAAGGGGATGGGGCAGCCACAGCTTCTCTGGGAAACCTGTGCCAGGGCCTCACCACCTTCACAGGGAAGAACTTTTTTCCTAATCATAGAATGGTTTGGGTTGGAAAGGACCTTAAGATCATCCAGTTCCAATCCCCTGCCATGGGCAGGTACATCTTCCACTAGACCAGGTTGCTCCAAGGCCCATCCATATCTAATCTGAATCTACCCTGTTCCAGTCTTGATACCATCAAATACTGTTGTGTTTTGAATATGTTTGCAGGTTTCTCATAACAATGAACATGTTTTCTTTTGTATTATGAAATGTCTATGATAATCTTGAGCATCCTTCAGGACTGATATAGCAAGAATGAGAACAGCAAGTATAGTATTAAGTGTGAATTACTGTGCTTTGGGGCTAATAACAAGGATTTGTGTTGCCAACTAGTTTACTAATATCAGAAGAAGAGAAAAAAAAAAAAGATGTTTTTTTAACTGATTTATTGTTGATCCCAATCAAAGGTGTCAAGCCTGGGGGTGATTTTGGTTATGACAAATCATAGAATCATAGAATAGTTAGGGTTGGAAAGGACCTTAAGATCATCTAGTTCCAACCCCCCTGCCATGGGCAAATCATGTAATTTAGGATTAATTGGATAATGCAAAAAGAAGATTTGCACTACTGACATTGGTACTACTGCCAGTGGTAAATCCTAACTTGGAATGCTATGCTTGGTACCCACTTTCACGCAAATTGAAAAAGATGCTGGGATGGTCTAAAAGAACAATTAGGAAAGAAAAGAGAAAGAGTCAGAGAGCTCCATTATTAACCCAGCAAAAGAAAGTCTCAGTTTGAGATATAATTCCTCTCTAGGAATATTAAAAAAGCAACATTAGGGCTGGAAAGAGCTATATAGTTCAAAGCAAAACACCAACACCAATGGCCATGAATAAATTTATATCAGAAATTGAAAACCAGAACCAGAAGAATGGGGGTAACAGATTGATACAGAGGCTTTTAATGTGCAGTCGCTTATTAAAAATTGCCCCCTTTCTTCAATATTGTGCAGATTTCCTTGAACAGTTCCTGACAAGAAACCACCTTCCTGAGCCGGGGACAGCCTAGCACCTTGACCCATTTCTCTGTCATTAACAAGTTCAACGACCAAACAGAAGTTTCTGCTGGGAGTGCTGGTTTTATAAAGAGGCCTCAGCAAACATTAAACCTCTAAAGCTCCAGAAACTCAATAGTGAGGAAAAAAATAAATCTCCCAAGAAAGATTACAAGGAGGTACAAAAGATTCAAAAACAAGATGGAGATCTTTAGCTTAAGAACTATGGATTTTGTCGATCTGCCAGACTGCTGCTGTATGTATCTGCCCTGAACTTACTCCTCTCTCTCTCAAGGAGATGCTGTGGTAGAGGAATTCTGTTCAGCAAAAGACCTGCTCGGTCTCAGGTGGAGAACTTTGTTTTAACTGTTTTCAAATAGCTGTTGGGAGAGTTTGGGGAGAAGGCACACACACACACATGCAGAAAACCAGTTTTGGAAAGTATCCTCTTGTGAAAGGAGAGGAGCAGTAAGCCTGCCCACCCTGGGGAGAGAATCTGACATCTGCTCACAGATACTGAACAACCAGGATGTCATGAAGACAAAGGCTCTCATGCAGTCAGATGACTTAAATTCTTCCTTCCAAGTGGAAAATGAGGTGGTGTACTGCAGAATATGATTTCCCAGGAATATGAAAGGCCTTTTACAGAGGAAAAATCAAGGATCTGGTTTTAGCAGTTATCAAGCTAGAGACTCCATATATGCCAAAAATAATGGTAAAGTTCTCCTTTCTCTTTGATTGTTTTCAATTATAAATACCATTTTTTCAGTCAAATATTTCATAGTTCAAACACGGAAAGGAGCACAAAGTTTGCACTACCCCTCTCTTCATGCCTCCGTGCTTATTCTGCAAACCATGGAGGGCCTTTAAAGGTAAATTTTGTTTCTGACACCTCATGATGATGTTACAAGAATGGTTTCTCACAGAAGCTCCAGTGTTACTTCTTATTTCATTCAGTTTGCTCTCCTATTTTGGTGCCTCTCCTTCTTATTAGAAGCCATTGTAGCAATTGTGTCCACTGCAAAACTGCTTCATAATTTTTTCATCTCTCTGCCTGGGTTTTTTTTTTTATATACAGCAGTCCTAAGGAAAACCTGGGGAGGCAACTATTATAGAATCATAGAATCATAGAATAGTTAGGGTTGGAAAGGACCTTAAGATCATCAAGTTCCAACCCCCCTGCCATGGGCAGGGACGCCTTGCTCTAAACCATATTGCCCAAGGCCTCGTCCAACCTAGCCTTGAACACTGCCAGGGATGAAGCTTTCACAACCTCCCTGAACAACCTATTCCAGTGCCTCACTACCCTAACAGGAAAGAATTTCCTCCTTATATCCAATCTAAACTTCCCCTGTTTAAGTTTTAACCCATTACCCCTTGTCCTGTCACTACAGTTCCTAATGAAGAGTGCCTCCCCAGCATCCTTATATGCCCCCTTCCTAGCCTGTCAGTTAAAGACTATGAAGTGGAAACATAACAAGATCAATCAATTTTGGAAAGCCCCATCTTCAATTTTTTTCTTTATTCAATAGACGCTATGTTCATCCACTTCAATAAAAGATTCCAGATAGTACAACAAACTACGATTATAGATCACTTAAGTGCTTGAATTGTGTCTTTCTCCATGGTCTGAGCAGGAAATTATGATCACTCTACCAAGGAATTTCACAAAACTCCTTCTATTGAGAAATACAGCTTTTTTCTGAGAACGTGAAGAGGTTCCCATCAATCACATAGTTCTGCCTCTTGGCAACTTTTCAGAAGTTACCAGCATCAGTCAGAAAGTCAAAGTGTGATGAAATGGATGAAGGTAAGCTCTCCCAGGGAAAGAAGAGAAAAGCTTGAGAACACATGTACATACCCTACAGGGAAGCTTTCAGATTAAGATCCCTTCTGACTCATTTCTGGTATCAGGTCAGTGTAAATTAATGATCACTTTGACTTTTCAAAAGAAGCCAAAATCTCTCTTAGCTGATTACTGAAGCTATGCATAGCATATTATTAACCACATAAAGGCCTGATTCTGCCATTAGCAGCAACCAGTCTTGCTGCTCCTCCTGTATCTCATAAAAGCCATGGGGATTTTCCTGCAAAACTTAGAAGTCGATACACAGACTGACTCTCACAGGATCTGTGTGTCTTAGGATCTCTGATCTATCAGGGAGCCAACCCCAGTCGTGGGGTCTCTAGTCATACCTTCCCACTGCAGCAAAACTGTGACCGACACTAGTCATGCACCAGAAACTCAACAAAAAGCAAACCTTCAACTTTCAATTTCAAAGTTATCCTTTGCTCTTTTGCCTTCAAAAGAATCTTTGGGAGCTGGATGTATTTCCCCGACTGCTTTCAGCTGTAATTTAAACCACCAGCCTTCTTTTGCTATGCAGCATGCCTTTCCTGTACTGCACTCGGATGATGCAAAGCTGGCCAGTTGCCCAGTAGGTCTTGCCTTCAATTTGTGCCAGGCCAGACAAATCTTAACTAGCAAGGTTAATATTCACAAGCGTGCTTCTGCTCTGAAAAGACATGTATGCACAGAGCCAACACTCAGCAGGAGTAAAACTCTCAGGGTTAGCTAGGGATCTCGAAGGAACCAAGAGAAATCCCTGTAAACTGCTGGAGACAGCTCTCCTGCGGCACTCCTTGGCCAGCTGGGGCTGTAACCTTGCACCTATCAGCCCTGAAAAGCAAAGCTCACGGCAGAATCCTCAACGATCCTTCTCAGAAATCTGGTGACTGATTGGGTCTGGAGCAGAAGAAAAAGGAGCACCAAGAGACTTCTTGGAAGAAGAGTCTGGTGGGCTGCCATCAGGCATTGCACAGAACATGGCCCACCAAGGAATAAGCTGCCTCCTTTGAGCTCTCCAATGTCTCCAGACCTCTACATCCAAACACGACTTTTTAACCTCTCTTCCCCACCCAAGCCCTTTGCTCCTTTACAGACAAACACACCAGTATCTCATTGCCCTTCTCTGTGGTCACTGAAGTTGCCTTCCACCTGCAAAATTAAATACCAGTAAATGGTCATTTAGGTGTAATTTGACAATAAAATACAACAAACTAAGAAACTAAATGTACTGATGAAACAGGCAGTTAGTTTAATTCAAAACCTGAGCGAAAATATCAAACTCCTACTCAGAGAGCACACAGTTGACAGGAGAAAAAATCCTGTCAAGTTCCATTTGCATGTTGTCTAGCAGAAGAGGAGACCCAGCGCATCAGGAGTCATTTACTAAAATCTAATTTTTCAGGAAGTGTGCTGTCCACATTTATTGGGTGTTTTTTGCCAATAAAACATACTGATTTTTTTAAAACAAGAAAATCAACATGTGAGCTGAGATGGTAAAAAAAAAAAAAAAAGAAACAGCATTATCTCATTTAAAAAATAAGGATCAATGTTTTATTTTAAAGAACATTTATTGAATTTATTATTTATTTTTAGCATATTATGCACTTTCCTGTTAAGTATGCATTCCTGTTATAGTATATATATATTATCAAATACAAAGTTAAATTAACACAAGCATCAATTTCATATTTAAATGATACTTAACAGTTGTAATATAGTTCACTTTCTTTTGGTTTTCTAATAAATTATTAGAAGTTCTTACATTGACAACCAAAATTAACTTAATTGAAGCTCAGCTTTAGCAGAATCAGTCTTTAGCAGATTTCTGTAAATGGTCCAAGTATGTTTGCACTAGGAATGTATCCTCCTGCTGCCACACTAGAGATAAGAAGGGACTTGCAGACTCCCAAAACAAGCAGAAACATTCAACTGAATCTCTCTGAACACACTATTTTTCCAACCATGCTTATAATTTACTAAAATATCATCTTTTTTTCACCATCAGTTGCCATTTTTTTTCCATGCAGTGTCTTTATGTGTGAACACCTATGGTCAAATTTGTCATAAGCTTTTGTGCTAATTCCTTGTTCGATTAACAAATTATGACTTAAGCTTCAGCACACACAAAACCAAAGTATTTCAATTTTAAAATTGTATCCATAGAAACCTTTTAGCACATATTGAGAGAAATATAATTAAAAAACTGTCACTGGAAATAACTGTGATTTCCCTATTTTCATTTTCCTGGAAGTATATGAAATCGCAATTGTGCAGTTCATACCTAACAGTAATTTATATGAGATAAAAACCATTTTAAGTTTCTTTCAGCTGCACAATAAAGAATTAACCACCTTGTGGGGACATGCTTCATTACTTTCTCATCTTCAAAGCTGACAAAATTAAATCTCCCTTGTAATTCTTAAAGTCTTGACAGACTCAGTGCAGTATATGAATGCTTACACAAACCTCAGGACTAAATAATAATGCTGCTATCACATGTATTATGTAATACAGGAACTAAACAATTAGTTGAAAACAAATAACTTTTCAATTTTCCATTAGTGTGTATACACTTCAGCATTATCTGTTACAAATGATACACTATCATAATGATGCATTATCAAAGTTCAGAGCTGGAGTATATCTCTTGGAACTGGAGACACTACTAATGGGGTATTATTAATGTCTTGAAAATAATCATGTGTGTGGTGGATGGTTCTGCTTTAACTGTGCAGTTAAAAACAATTACGGGAAACATTTTGATACTTCTGTGATTTGAGTCCAAAATAAAAAACATACCCATTTCAGAAGTCTTTGTTTTCTCAACTGAAAAAAGGATCTAATGTATTGGTAATATACTACCTGCTGTACCAAGATTTATCATTTTGGCTAAGATAATCTTAGAAAACAACACTAATTTGTCATCATTATCATGCAAGCTTTGCAGGTGACTTTAAGTACTATTGTGCATTTTTTTTTATCTTAAGCAGCAACCTTTCATGGATGGATTGAAATCCATCCACGGGTCCTGAAGGAGCTGGCAAATGAAGTTGCTAAGCCACTGGCCATCATATTTGAAAAATCATGGCAATCAGGTGAAGTTCCCCATGACTGGGAAAAGGGAAATATAACCCCCATTTTAAAGAAGGGGAAAATGGATGACCGAGGGAATTACAGACCAGTCAGTCTCACCTCTGTGCCTGTCAAAATCTTGGAGCAGATTCTCCTGGAAGGCATGCTAAGGCACATGAAAATCAACAAGGTGCTTGGTAACAGCCAGCATGGCTTCACTAAGGGGAAATCCTGCCTGACCAATTTGGTGGCCTTCTATGATGGGGCTACAGAACTGATGGACAGGGGTAGAGCAGTTGATGTCATCTACCTGGATTTGTTCGACACTGTCCCACACAACATACTTGTCTCTAAATTGGAGAGACATCAATTTGATGAATGGACCACTCGGTGGATAAAGAGCTGGCTGGAGGGCTGCACACAAAGAGTTGTGGTCAATGGCTCAATGTCCAGCTGGAGACCAGTAACGAGTGGTGTCCCTCAGGGATCGGTGTTTGGACCGGTCTTGTTTAACATCTTCGTTGCTGACATGGACAGTGGGATTGAGTGCGCCCTCAGCAAGTTTGCCGATGACACCAAGCTGTGTGGTTCGGTTGATACGCTGGAGGGAAGGAATGCCATCCAGAGGGACCTTGACACACTTGTGCCAGCCTCATGAAGTTTAACCATGCCAAGTGCAATGTCCTACCCCTGGGTCGGAGCAATCCCAGTCACAGCTACAGGCTGGGCAGAGAAGAGATTCAGAGCAGCCCTGCGGAGAAGGACTTGGGGGTGCTGGTCGATGAGAAAATGAACATGAGCCAGCAGTGTGTGCTTGCAGCCCAGAAAGCCAACCCTATCCTGGGCTGCATCAACAGGAGCATGACCAGCAGATCGAAGGAGGTGATCCTGCCCCTTTGCTCTTGTGAGACCTCACCTGGAGTACTGTGTGCAGTTCTGGTGTCCTCAACATAAAAAGGACATAGAACTGTTGAAACAAGTCCAGAGAAGGACCACAAGAATGATCAGGGGACTGGAGCACCTCCCATACGAAGATAGGCTGAGAAAGTTGGGACTGTTCAGCCTGGAGGAGACTTCGTGGAGACCTCATAGCAGCCTTCCAGTATCTGAAGGGGGCATATAGGGATGCTGGGGATGGACTCTTCATTAGGTGACAGAACAAGGGGTAATGGGTTAAAACTTAAACAGGGGAAGTTTAGATTGGATATAAGGAGGAAATTCTTTCCTGTTAGGGTAGTGAGGCACTGGAATAGGTTGTCCAGGGAGGTTGTGAATGCTCCATCCCTGGCAGTGTTCAAGGCCAGGTTGGACAAGGCCTTGGGTGATAGGGTTTAGAGTGAGGTGTCCCTGCCCATGGCAGGGGGGTTGGAACTTAGAATCATTGATGAACTTGATGATCTTAAGGTCCTTTCCAACCCTAACTATTCTATGATTCTATAACCTTCCAATTTTATTTTATTTTTATAGCCCTAAAGAAAAAGTTCTGTGTGTTTTATCTGAAGCCATGATCAAACTTGCTTTTGCCTCTCATACAGCAGTCCACTATGATTTACTGAGAAACTTCTGAAGAAGCTACAGCAAGTCACACTGTCCACTACTATATTCACCAAGCCAAGCAGCTCGTTTCTCCTCTCTCTCTCTAGAAAGTGTAACGGATGGGCATTTTGTATTTCAGCAAGAAGGTGACACAACCACATGCTCCCTAGCTGGTGGCTGTGCAGGCAGCATGTCAAACTCTCTGGGAAGAGCATGACCTCAAGGTGGCCAAGCCCAGCCAAAACAACCTTAGCAGTACATTTCCAAGCCTTGTGGCAAGCACTTGCTGAACCTCTGCAGTAAACATATCTTGTCCCTGTTCTCACAGCCAGTAGCACATCTTTCCAGGGGTATTCTTCTTCAGTGTCAATTCCCTACCCAAGTTTTAAAAAGCAGAGAGGACAGGGTTAGTAAGATCTTTTAAAGGGCAAAAATGAACAACTATTTATCTTTCTTTGCGTGAATTACAACGCAAACTTAGCTAGAGACATGCAAGAAACCTTACTTTACTGAATTTTTAGGGTATGTAATTTTCTTCCTAGCTTTGATTTTACTTTTTGTCAAAAGATTTAATTTCTTTGGGCTGCCTTAGTCACTAAAAAAAAAAGGTTTAAACAACAATTCCAGTGCTTAAAGCTGCTTTTAGAGGTTTGCTTACCTGAGTCAAATTTCACCTTACTCATATAGCAAATCGGAGTCGGTTAAAGTAAGGAACCTGTAGAAAAAGATAGTGTACCATGACTTCTTCATCTGACAGCTGCCTCTCTAGAATTTAAAATAAAAATGTGTAGTCTGTATAAAACATTATTTTCAAGGTAGTTAAGAAAAAAAAATCTCTATTTTTAGTAAGTTTCTACTTGAATTGGAAGGGGGCGGGGTATTTTCTATGTGTGCGTGTGTGCATGAAACTCCAGCACAAACACATGGACAGTTTATACATCATGGACAAACTGGAATGAGTTCATGTTATAGTACAGCAAGACTGCCTCCACATGTGCTCCAAATGAGATACTGGATGGATTTTTCAGGAAATTCAAAGCAGCATCAAAGGAATTTCACTTATTTCACTCCTGTCAATCTGAGGAAGGTTGGTTTTGAGGGGGAGTTTATTGGCTTGCTTGTAAAGATGGCCAGTTTTATTAAAATAGAAGAACTGACTTCCTTTAGTTTTGTGCCATAACAGGGAACCAATCATAACCATTTATCTGTAGGAAGATTAAGTTCTCTCCCGTCCAAAGAAAAGACCCTATTGCATGGATCTCCAGGTGAGTTGCCCTGTGCACAACACGCTGCTATGCAGAGACACCAGCTCACATTCATCACTGACCACAGCCTACACACGCCTCACTGGGCTGGCTCTCCAAGGCAGCCCCATGCTCCACAGCCCTTGCTGCACTTTCAGCTCCAAAGGCAGCACACAGCAAAGGTGTCTCTTGTGCTTTGATATCAGTTATGCCCTGATGTAGCTATAAATTGGGAAGATATCGACAGCTCTAAATTCAGTCTCAAATTTTCGTTGTACATCTTGGTGCTTAATTTCTCTATTGCTTTGCTTTTGAGCTTGTGGCTGTCAAGCTGGCTTACTTATCTTCTTCTGTATCAAAATAAAAGCATGGCTAGTTTAAAAGGGCTGACACAAAATCCTGTAAACTGAATGAAAGAAAGCAAAACAAACAAACAAAAACCCCTGCCTCAGCATAATTGTCTCTATAGCATGAGAAAGATGTCACTTTTTGACAGCGATTCTCAGATTTTTAAATTCTCTGTATTGATTCGTGTTACTGTCATTGTTGAAATGTGAATACAAGATTGAGTTTGCTTACTGAGATCTATTCAAAACTTTACTAATAGCTTAACAAATATATAAAAAACTCAGCTGCATGGAGGCAGACATCCTAAAAGGTGTCTTCTTAATAAGGGAAGAGTTCACAGAGCTGCCAGAGGGCATTATATTCACCCTAGAATACAACAAATGCATTTGAAGAGAAAAGTACTGGCACAGGCACTGACTCTGCTGGTTCTGCCCTGCTAAGAGAAAGGCAGATAGGGAAATCTATTTTTCTTAGTAGTAAGTTACAATTTGACTAGCACAAGGAACTCATTTGTTGAATTATCTTAAAATCATCACATTTCAGAGTAGAACCACACTTTAAATATGGAGAATGTTATTTGCTGTATATGTATTATGTTATTAAGTATAATTAAAGTTGAAAGCCACAGAACCACACTCAATGCTACTGCAAGACTATAGAACATTTCTGTGGCCAGCACAATAAAGTACCATATGCTGAAGATGCCAACAGCCAAATAATACATATAGTAGCCTAAACTAAAGCATGCTGTGGGCCAGTATCTGTGCAAATGTTCCAGAAATAAGTAATGAATAAGCATTATGAGAAACAACTACGTCACTGCAAACATCATCATTTCTAGATATGCAGACTGCCAAAAACAAAACATAAGCCTTGAAGAACAAAACTTCTTTTTACAAGTGCAAAATTCTACAGTATGTCAATGTTTGAGGTATCTCAAAGATATCACATCTAGCTAAAGTATTTCACCTTTTGACTTTTCTAGAAGACTTGCTGTGACTTTTTCAGGCACTAAAGTCACACAGAATATTCTATGTTCCCTTTGTACACTTCAGAAGTAGACAACAAAAGCTTTTTTTTTTTTTCCCTTACATTATGTTTTATTCATAACCATTGAAAAGAAAAATTGAAACTATGGTGAGAGCCACTCTTTAGACTTGTCTCTATTAGAAAATTGAATCAGAACTGGAAATAGTTGCAGACACAGACACCCGGGACCAGCACTGAAAACAGAGCAAGACCTAATGCAGATCTGGAAAAGGCAGTTCCAGTACAGTTTAAAAAATGAGACTGAAATGAGATCTGATTTGCACCAGGGTTACCACTGGAATTATTCACTGGCGAAAGAGGAGAGGGCTACTCTGAGAACAAAGAAAATGGACTCCGGAAGATCCACAGTTTACAATACACATCCTCTTCCCAGCAGATCTGGACTCTGAACACCTTCAAAGGAATGAACTCCCCCAGGAAAGGCCACCACTGGCAAAGGTGCTGAGAACATGATCCAGTGCAGTGGCTCTCCCTCAACCAGAGGCATCTGATCTGATGCTCTGGGATGTTTCTCAGCTAAAACCATTTTTCAGTCTGTACTGAAACAATCCCATTTATTGACCTACATAGCATTGAAACTATGACAGTCAGAGCCTGATTCTGTTACAGATTCTTCCTGATTCTGACTGTTCTTTCTCATACTTGGTAAAAATTCCCATTAGGAGAGGATATAGGAGCCATGTTCCCAGCCAGTAATACCTATACTGCATTATCAGTATGTACCAAACTGTGGCTCTTTTCAGTCTTCTACATTCATAGGTAGCCATGAGAAATAAATCATACATTAGAGAAGCATTACCATTTCATCAGCTTGCATCTGTAGCCAGACTGTTCTCCAGGTACATGGAGCACAAAACTGAAGTTCTTCCTAAGCAAAGAACCAAAGAGATAATGAATCAAGACACTCACTAAAGAAATTGCTATTTGACCAGTTCCCATTCCTTTAGCTCTGCAAAAATTCAACTAATATAATTTTGAGAAGAAATTGTGGGGTTTTTCCTCAGAGAAGAGGAGGTCTAGCTGAAGTGATAACAGGGGCTACAAAGCTGGAAGAACTTCAACAGAGATATACCTCTGACCATGGAAAATATAATGGTTATGAGATGTTTGGGCAATTTATCACCATTTATACTGCACTACCGGTATAAGTTTATATGTGAATATACCAGTGCTATGGTAAGGGGAGCTACAGAAAAACCTATGCATAAACAAAAGTGGATTACATATAAAATAAAACTTTCACCTACCATCTTTCTTCCTGTAGATTATATTAAGCAACATTTACCAGTGAATTTATCAGTAGGGCTTTTTCCAAAAGAGGAGGCACCCCACTCTATTTTTTACCATATGTGAACAGAGAAAAAAATAATTCACATTCCTTTAAATACCACATAACAAAACAGATTAAAAACCAAAATGAGCTAATATTTAGATAAATACTATTGCAATTATGTCACGCAGTTTTTTATATCAGATGAATTGTAGCCTCAGAATGTTAATAAAAGACATAAAGTCTTCATCCATAGTTTACTGTTTAAAACAATGACAATTTGTAACAGGAGTCCAAAGTATTTTACACATACTACTTATCCACTTAAAAAGGGGGTGGGGGAGCTAAAGACAGCAAGGAAAGCAACAGGGGCCTGATCCTGTTCCCATCAAAGAAAATGGGAAGTTTGCCATTAACTACAAGAGGCTGGATTGCGCCTTTGGTTTGCTGGCAGAACTGCACGTGTATTTTGCATTTTCTTTTGTGGCTAAAACGCAGTCATTTGCTGCCCTCTAGAAGCAGACCCTGGCACATACTTTGGTTTTCTTCAATAACAAGCCTGTTCCCAGCTGTGGTTTTTTTAAATGTATGTAACAACAACGCAGAGCAATTTTGAAAAACTAGAGTGATGTAATGATCTATGAGATTCTCCAAATACACAGACATTCGATAACATGATTGGTCATTCTGGTGGATAAATGGAATGGGGTCATATATTTCTCCTGGGATTATCAGAGTTAACTTCCAAGGAAAAATTAACTGAGATCATTCCATTACCCTGCTTAATAAAACTGAAAATTAGCAAAAGAGGGTCATGACTGCATTTTCTCAAGTACAACCCTCACCACACTGATACAGTTCACAGAGAGGATCAGAGATTCATCAGGTCATGCTAAAATATGACAAAATAAGTTAGCAAGTTTCAATTATATGTAATGTTTTAACAGTTAATTTTTTTACTGCCCCCAAAAGTAGTAGAAATCTCATTTATTAATAATGACTATTTTCTCATCAAGTTTTTAGAAATTTTTGTTCAATTCTACTTTGGTTTTATTAGTGCAGAATGAAAAATCTACAAAGTGCTGGGAAGTGTCTTGTTTCCTCCAACTCTAGAATGACCTAGAAATGGCTGCTGAAATCTCCTTCAAATAAAAAAAAAAAAAAAAGACGACACTCAAACCTTCCAACCTCAGCTCCCAGCAGAACTCAAAGAATCTACGTGTAAAAGCAATGAAGAAGATTCGAATGTCATCCACCATTCAATTATCATCACGTAATGCAATTAGAACATGAGTATATGGTTTGATTTTCACTACCACCACCAGTGGAGTTTATGGGTGAAGTATTTGAAAGTAGAAATATTTTTCTAGTACAATCCCACAAACTGCCAAGTGCCATTTACGTAGATCTCACACCATGCTCATTACTACATTATATTCCCCAAAAGCAACCAAGGACTTGCAGACCAAGTCTTGAACAGATGAAAGGTTCTTGATTTACCTTAGATCAGACTAATACTATCAGAAAAACTGCTCACTTAAGGATTTTTGCACTAAGCTACAAAAATCTGATGTATTCATATTTACCAGCCTTTTTTTTTTTAATCTTGCTTCTTTTCACAATACTTTGACAACAAAGACAAGAAGGATGGACTTGCACCTTTAAATCTGAATTTAGGTACTAATGAGAATCAAAGTGAATATGATTGCTGTGCCATATATCATTTTAGAGACTCCAAATTCTCCAAATTTAGATTCTGGTTGGTGAAATATATTTCTGATGTCTCATTTAAATGTCAAAAGTCAGGTAAAATGAATCTGCAGCTGTTTGCATCTTGGAATAAACGGTAATTTATCAGCAATGCTAATGTTGCACACTTTCCAGAATGAGTCTGAATATTTTTCCTTTGAAAAGTGCACATCAAAGATTTGAGAACTTATTTCAAGTACATTCTCCTCCTAACTACATCTATGCTATTTTGGCTTCTAATTGACTTATCTAAAATCAAAGCTTGTTTTAAACTGAAGTACATGGCAAGGTCAAGACCAAGGATGCAAAGGTTTAAACAAGTTTTCCATGAATAAAAAATAGTTGTACGGTCTCCAAAGAAGTAAACAAAGATAAGAGGGTAATCACTTTATTTGAGTCAACTGCAAGGTCAGTAAATGTGTGTACTCCCACACTAAAATACAAGCAGAGGGTGGGTCATGCACATGTCAAGCCCTAAGCATACCAATCAAGACCAGCATAAGCTTATCTGTTTTACATACCCTTAAAGAATGTCAAGCCAGGTTCTCAGAAAAATCTCAGCTTGCTGGCTGTGGAGTTTTCAGCTAAATAAAGCATGGAGTGGATGCCACCAAGCGGTAGCTGTTATCACATACCAGTATCTTCAGCCTGACCACGGTTTAGGCTGCCACTTCAGCTGCAGAAAATATTCCTGGTAGAGCAGTTCGTTGGGAACAGAATTCTACTACTGTAAAAAGGGGAAAACAATTCACTGAAGATAAAATTCAGCTCCTACTGCTAATGACAGAACTGCCATGGATTTAAATGACACCAGTATCAGCTTCCTTTTGAAGCCTTATAAAACACTGATAATCTTCTCAGTGTAAATCCAAGGTTGCCTGAAAGCCCAGACAACAAACATGCAAGAGAGACCCTAGGTGCACCCAGAAAAGACCCTCTGACTATAACTGATTATTTGGGTATATCTACACTGCTAAACGTTACAGGGCCATGAGACCAAGTATTGCTTAATTGTTTTATCACTCCTCTACTCAGGGCAGTTCCAAATGGTTCTCTTTCAGACAAAGTACAGGCACAGTGCTGGGAAAAATTTACTCCAGGGAACAATCACAGCAGTCAGTTGGTTGAAACTACACCAGGTTTGCTGTGTCCGCTCCGCAATTGACTTTCTCCATTCCCTACCATCCTTCAATATTATTGCAGCAAATTTTGCCCCTCAAATATCTCATAAACCACATCCCAGCACATATATAGCCTCAGTTCTATGCTATAAAAACACTCAGGAGGGCTATTTCATGCTTTTGCATTATTTCAGCCACAGTGGCGCCGCAAGAGACCCAGAGGAGACATCCAGGCATAGAGTACAGATGCAGCCAGCCCGCTCTACTACCAGTACTGAGCTAGTAATTACAGTGAAGGCATAAGGCGACCCAGATCCCTGGGAAGCAGTTGCTTATATGGAATCATAGAATCACCTAGGGTGGAAAAGACCTTTAAGATCATCAAGTCCAACCGTTACCCCAGGACTGCCAAGTCCACCACTAAACCATGTCACTAAGGGCCCCATCTACACTGTTTCTGAACACTTCTGGGGACAGTGATTCCACCACTTCCTGTTCCAATGCCTGACCACCCTTTCAGTGAAGAGGTTTTCCCTACTATGCAGTCTAAACCTCCTCTGGCACAGCTTGAGGCCATTACCTATGAGAAGCAATTTAGAAACATGCCTTGTCTACAGTCTCATTCTTGAAGAGCATTATAGACAACCTTCAAGAATCCTGCCACAACTGACAGTATGAGTCTAGCATAGAAGACATGAAGAAACATCCATCAAAGGTATCGCACCTGGTATGTGTTGCAGATGCCTGGTCCAAACACAAGCTCCATCCATCTCACCGCTACTGCAACCTCCCTTCAGTTGTAAAGGGTCTAGGAGAAATTCCCTACCTGCTGAATGGCAAAACAAAGAATTCTTTACTCTCCAAGCTACTTCTCAGGCAGCAAAATGAATTGACACCAGTTTTGTATTTATTTTAATAAACATGGAACTGAAAAAGAAAAATTCTGACTTGCTTGTTCCTGTTGACTAGAATTCATTTCAATAATAAAATATGTCTGGAAAATAACTATTTACTAATTAAAATTATGTACTATGTTAATAATGCAAGTGTCTATTTAATTAATGTGTGCATTATCACAGTTATCTGAAAGCAAAAGGCAGATTAGATTGGTTCTGGCACTAGCCTGAGGGGAATGGCAAGACAGCCTGGCTTCACTGCCTGCCTTCATCAATCAGAGCCCTGGAAAGCCAAGTGAGCTGCTTCAGTGCTATTGCCACTGAGGGAGTGAGGAATGGTGCTGAAGAATGGACAGCAGGCCCACTCTCCAAAGCTGCCTTTCCTCACTTTCCTCATTTATACACTGATTTCAAATAAACCTTTTGCTTCTTACTAAAGATTCCCATGGAGAAGTGCAATAATAGTCTCCTTGCAAGAGTCCCCTCTGCCCTGTCTTTCCAGCAACACAAGTAGACAGGCAGGGGTTCTTCAACAATGCTCATAATGTGCCTAGATGGCTCAGAACCTTGAGCAGGCTTTGGTAAAGCACTGTGACAGCCTAGTCTAGGACTTCTACAGTGCTACCAATAACAACTGGAACACCATTTATTGACACTAATGAATAAGAACATTCAGAACAGTCTAGACCGCAAATCCAGGAAACAGATGTTTTCCGAAGCCTTCCCTGGCATATGAATCAGTACTCACTACACGTAACTGAGATCATGGTCTGCATCACAAGTGTGATTGCCTTCAATAGAGTATTAAACATCATAAACCAGTGTCAACACAGAACATCTTCATCTGTCAATATATGAGCTGTACATCTTAATGATAAATCAGAAATAATGTGGATTAGGTAGACTGGAGAAGCAATTCAAGGGGTAGGGTGCTACTACATAAATGAGAATCTGGGAAAAACGAGTCTGAAAGTGCATATGGTATAGAAAAGTGGCAGCAAGACTAAGACAAAAACTTCCTGACACATCACTGAAAACAGGAGACACCAAAAATGACTTCCATAGCAGCCATGTTCCAGACATAATTTGCATTTCACCTTTGAGCTTGGTTTGCATAAGTACAAACACAGGAGTATATATATTTACCCAAAGGTAAGCAAAGAAGCAAACAGAAGAACTTTCAGTTCATAAAAAACAAAAACACCACAAAACCTGCATGCTTGTACTGAACAAGATTAAAGATTTCCCTAGACCTGCACCCTACCTCTGACAGTGGCCAAATCTCTTTTAAAGAACTAAGAACACAACAGGCAAATGCATAAATCAAGAAGCTTCTACACTCTAACCAATACTGACAAAATGGATGACAGAAGGTTATCCCAGCCTATGGGTATTAGCCCGAAGAAACGATGTTTTTACTGTTTTTCTAATTATGCTGTCATTTTTTTCTCTAACAAACTAACTGATTTTTAATTAAGATATCCAGAACTTGGTATTGGAGACTTGTGCATCAGGGAAGCATGGTTCCCACAAGCTGCCTCGTGCTCTTGAGAAAACACAGAGGTAGGAGTAAGAGGTGGTCTAGTTCCTGCATTAAGTAAGAGAACTGCCCACCCAATGTAGTGGAATAGCAGGAAGAGGGGAGCTGTTGTACCAGAAGGAAACACTTGAAATTATTAAATCCCAAAGAACAATCTCCAATCCCCCACTATGAGCTAAACTCATATGCTAAAATTGTTTGACATCCAAGGTCTACAGCGATTGCCTTTCTATACATATAACAGGATTTGATAGCATACGTGGATGTGAAAATATAAAATGTTTATTTTGTTTTTTTAGTTTAAAGATTTTAAAAAATATTATAAATTTACAAAACTCACTAGGAGAAAAGAAGTAGTCACATCAACATATAGGCAGCTCATCATTTACATACAGAGAATCACACAAACTGCAGTGCACGGATGAACCTCTGGACCAGCAGGGATCAGCTTGTGAGTACTATACCATACTGATTAACCTCAGTTAACTTACATGAAAGTGACTGAATATTCTATTAATATTTTACACATGTATCCAGGACAAACTCCTTGACAAAATGTGAAATTCCCACCCAGAAAAATGGCTGTATCTTACCAATGGCTAAAGTGTTCCCTAAATATTACAGAATAAATTCTATCCCACTTCATGTTCTGGAAGCTTCCACAGACTCATGCATATCCTGTTTTTTCTACCCAGCCATGACGGACAATTCTTCACCACTGCTGAAAACTGCTAGAGTTGTACAGTGTTGCTCAGTACAAAAGTACAGAGAATTTACTCAAGTTCATTTAAATCAGGAGGACTCTGTTGCTTATGCTCTGAGGGAATATTGGAAAACACTGTCAATTGAATATTTCAGAGCTTTCATATCTTTAGAATTTGTCATTCATAAGATGTCATCATCTTTACTGTGTTATTCTGGAAACTTACTTAGAGGTAATGAGCTGGAAATTTGGCATTACTTTCAACATCATTCTCCACAATTATTTCTAAATCACAGTACAAAAATATTTTCCCACTCCATGATTTATGCAGCTTGTGCTCTTCTGCACTCTCTGATGACTCAAAATTTCAGCAGGCCCTTATGACATTGCTTTCAACTTCCTATGTGCAGCTGGAGCTGGTGGACCACACATTCCAGGACTATCTGCAGCATCATATTAAGAACTATTAAGTTCAGTTATGTGCAGAATCAGCACATACAGATTTAGTTTTTTAACGTCTATTCCAAGACCTGTACTTCAGGACTGAAGCAGATTCAGTTTGCAGTAGCTGAATATGAGCTGTCATTCCTCTTTTGTGTCTTGCTCCAGTGACAACTACTTTGAAAATAAGGAAAAGTTAATTGTGATGAAAATCAAAGTGACTTGCTCAAGTGTCAAAACCTGCACAAGCATCAGTCTCTTGTTTCTCATTAGTCTCTCATTTCTCATTTGAAGAAAATAACTCTGTACTTCTAACAGTGTTTAGATAGCACCTCATACACCATTCTGCTGTTTATTAAGAATTCCTGGGTATTTGGGTACTTGCTTTGCTTGAGCTTTCCTAGGTGAACAAGTGTAAACATGCTCTAAGTAGCAGCATAGATGTTTTCATCTTTCAGAGCTCTTAACACTACAGAAATGGGTTACAATTTGTGAGCTAGAGGTCCTGCTGCACTACAGGCTCTTGTAAAGAGACAAGACCACTGAGGGACACCAGGAGATTCCACAAAGAACACATCAAGGGCGATGATTTGTAATTTAGCACTTAAGAGCAGGATGCTATGTGAGCACAAAAAAACAGTGTATGGGGAGAGGGGAGGAAATAAATTTAACAGGGTAAACCTTGCTCCGATATGTCAGTTGTTCGCATAAAGGACAAAGTGCTTAGACTTAACTGGGTCTAAGTAGAGGAATCACACTGAAATGGAATGGTGTGGCTCAGAAAGTGTACAAGGTAAAAAATAAGTAGATAGTATGAACTATAAGACTGCACCCCAATAACATGCAGTGTGACATGGTAGAGAGACAGGTAATAAAGTACCCACAGTGGTGATTGTCTGTAATGAATAAGATTTAAGAGTGGCAAACTCAGATATTGCTACAGTGGGAAGAATTACAGAATTGCACATTAATAATAGTGATGTCATTATTACCTAGGTCATTAAAATGATTTATGAGATTATTAATAGTGGTTTGGTTGTTGAATCAGCATTAAAGCCTTTCATCTCAGGCCTGCAGTCAAAAATGAAGACCATCAGGTAACAGCTAACCTCTCACCTCTGCATCCTCTGAAGGATATTTTGGCATTAGATGCATTAGTCTTCCAGGTCCTCAAGGACTGTAAACCTCTGGGGTGAGTTTTACCACTGATTTCATAAATTTTCCCTTGAGAAAAATGGCACTGTTTATTTTAGGTTGGTTGGTGCAAACCATTAAATAGATCCTTATTATCTGAAGATTAGTTTGTGAATTAAGGTTTCAATTTAAGTAATCTAAATTATCTATTTTTAACAGAAAAAAAATCAATGAAAAGTTAAAAAACTAACCTTAATTAAATCAGTTTCTCCTTACATGCACAGGCAAGCATATCAGATTTTCTCCTGCATGCTAGCACTTGTCTAAGCCCTCAGCTCTCGTGCACTGCTCTACATTCGAGTGGGTTTGTGTTGGACAAATCACAATTCCTCCCTTTCCTCCATTAGTTTGTCTTGCACACCACCCCCTGGGACTTTGCCAGCAGCAAAGTGCCAGAGCTGAAGAGGATGTTACACAGCCCCTAAGCAACATTCTCAATACGTTGCCTTTAAAGAGAGGGGATCTATGGGTTTCTTTGGGCTTTTTTTTCTCTTTTCTTAAAGACCTTTGCTGGTGCTTGCAGGGATTTTTCCTCATGGCTGCCCAGCCTCAACCGCTTTCTGTGGCAGACTGATGGGCTGCTTCACCTGGTACCACTTTTCACTTGCCAAGCCTGGAAAGAAGATTTACCAAAAAAATTAGTTTTACGGATTTAATATTACTATTTTTAAAATGAGACAGACTCGAGCCTTCCCGCTGCCTGCTCCTGCGCCGGTACGGGCTTTGAGCTACACTTCTCCGGGATTGACCCACCTCACAAACAGGAGGCCTCGGCTCAGCCCCTGACCTCCGGCGGGCCCAGGACCCGGCCGCGCTCCGGCCGCCGGGAGGGACGGGGGTGTCAGCAGCCAAAAGCCGGTCTCCGAAGCCCACCCGGGAGCCGCAGCGCTGCTGCCTGCAGGCCGCACGGCCCCGCGCCAGAGGCGGAGCCGGGGGGGGGGAGAGGGAGGGCATGCGGCGGTTGGTGTCCATGGAAACCAAGCGCACACGGAGCACCGCCCTCCTCGCCGGGTCGTTGCCGCCGCCATCATGATGCTGCTGGGCCGCGGAATGGACGCCAGGTAACGGGGCGGCAAGGAGCGGAGGAGGCCCGGGGGTGCTGTTGCCTTCGGGCCTATTGCGGGTCTCTGCCGGTGCCCCGGAAGGCTGCTCTGGGGGTTCGTGTGGCGGCGGCAGGCTGCGCCGCCTGGCTTTCTCCGGCAGGGGAAGAGGCCCGGGCGCATCAGGGTACCCGCGGTGCCGCGGGGGTCGGGGGCGATGCGGGCCCGGTTCCCCTTAGTGCAGCCACCCCCCTCTGTGGGGGAACCGCGTCTGTTCGCCTCAGGGGAAGGCCGCAAAACTTTTCTGGGCTTAATGTGCTCTGTAGAGATGCAGGTTTAATCGGGACTCTCCTATAATGTTGTGGCTGCCTCTCAGCTGTCAAAACTAATGAGGAGGGGAAAAGCCCTTTTCACACCCCCACCTAAGGAAATTTAGGGTTTCATGCCCCAAAATTAAGTATTGTTTGCATGGGAGTAGTGTGAGATCAAAATTGGAAAGTGGGTGAGGAAACGTGTTCAGGGTTTCCCCCTGGGAGAGGAACACTTTCTGACACGAAGACCTTCCAGTAAAGTAGGAAAGATGAACCTTTTACTGAAGATTTTATTACACGGTATTAACTTTGAAATACAGCTTTATTGGTACTTAACGAGACTCTTACCTTCCCACACACTGGGTGAAACCTTTCCTATTCAAAGGGTTCTATGCTCAAGCATTCCGTGGAGGACTGAGGAACTTGTGTTTTTGCTTTCTTTGACCAAAATCTCTTTTGAACAGTCCTCTAGACTGTTTGCTATGAAGTAATACAACCAGGGCTTGCTTGTAGCAGAACTTTGGCATGAAGGATTTTTTCTGAAGAGCTCCTGAAGAAAGGTGTTCTTCATTTGAATTGACTGTATTGTTGCTTTGTCTTAAAAGTATTAAAATTTGGGTTTTTTTTTCTAGTACTAAGTCAATATTTAAATGTTGGCCAGCATTTGGAGCTGGGATAGCTTAAGTATGTGAAAGAAGCTTTTGTTTCTGTCCCTCACCATGACAGTGGTATGAGTGAATTCTGTTGCTGAGAATTGCAACACTTGACATGAATTGCCTCATGTAGACCATAGAAGCTTCTGAGGACTCAGTATCTGGCAGCCACTGATGGCTAAATTGTCCTGTAGTTGACTCTGTCAGACCAACAACTGGCATGAATTCACTGACAGTGATTTGGTTTAACAGCATCACTGAAGCATAACTAGAACAAGACCATCAAGTGATTCAGGAATAGGAAAGCAAAATACCAAGTGAAATACGTGAATTAAAAACTCAGAGTTAATTATTTAGATCATTAATAATTATAGAATGGTTTGGGTGAGAAGGAACCTTAAAAATCAGCTAGTTCCAACCCCCCTGCCATGGGCAGGGACACTTTCCACTAGTTCAAAAGCCCCATCCAATCTGAATCAGTCAGGGGACTGAAATATACAGCCATTTGGTTCAGATAAGAAAAGATGAATGTTCTTTCTGTGTTTTGAGAGTTTTCAACTCTGTACTTGTGTCTGTTCACTTTTCTGTAATTCTTAGGTATGTTTACCCTCTGTAGTGCTGACAAGGAACAGTTTGGTACCTGTTCACAATCTAAACATTTAATATCTTTACATATTTGCCCTCTACTGCCTGATCTCTCCAACCATTGACTTGTCTGTTTACATTGCAGACTCTTGCAGGAAGTTGTGTGGCCCACTCTTCTTTGAGACCTGCAGGTCTCTCTTGCCACTATGTTAGTAATTAATGCCATCAGTAATAGTGAACTTCTGATTAACTACAGGAGGAAAACTTCCAAGCTGGTACTCATAATTAGGGTTTTCCTCCATTGGATCTTTATTTTTAAGTGCAAATCTTGCGCTTTTTTGTTTGTTATTAATTCATAATACACATAGTACATCAAACTGTTATAACCTTATATTTTTAAGAGTACATTTGTTTTACATTGAAAAGAGATATCCAAACCATGTATAAATTACTAATAGTATAATTATATAGCTTTTCTTCTGTATGTGTTGTAAACATTTGTCCCCTTCTTATTTCTCACATATTTTTCTTTGGTATCCAGGGACAATCAGACTAGACAAATACAAGATGCTGTTTCAAATGTGGAAAAACATTTTGGTGAATTGTGCCAAATATTTGCTGGATATGTACGTAAAACTGCCAGACTACGAGACAAAGCAGATCTTCTAGTAAATGAAGTATATGCATATGCAGCCACAGAGACACCAAACTTAAAAGTTGGACTGAAAAACTTTGCAGATGAATTTTCCAGACTTCAGGACTATCGCCAGGCAGAGGTACAAAATTAAAGCTGTACATGTTGTGTTTGCCATCTGAACTTCTCAGTCACTTATCTGTGATTAGAAAGGGAAAATATATACTCTGGTACCATAAGAGTAATACAGGGTAAGACACTTTAAAATATATTAATGACAGAGCAGGACAGGCTGCCAAAGCATTCATCATTTACTCTGCTAATAACTTTAGTGAAAACTGCCTATGGTTAGTCCTGCCGAAGTCAGTGGAACTATCAGTATGAGCAATCATAAGACAAAGTCTTTTATTTGTCTTAGGCTTTGGATTACGATTTATGGTTAATAAAGCATTCTTTTAGTTTTGTGACTTGAGTTGTCCAGCAGCCGGTGAGGTAAAATCAGTCATTTTCCTTCTGTCGAGTCTATTATCAGAAGCACTACGGAAGAAAGTGCTACCTGGAATCCATCACTGGAACTGACAGCCTCTCTGAGGTGCTGTTGGGGACCACTGTAGATTTCATGAGCTTGTAGTTCAACACTAGAAATACAAACTTGATTTGGACCACATGTGACAACATAGTCATGTTTCTGCTCAATAAGTGTGAGTGTAACAAAAGGTGCTTATGCCACTTAACACATCTGTATGCAGGGCCACTCAAACTATAATTTATGATCCAGAATTTGAAAGATTTAGGAAAAAATAAATTCACATGTACTCAAACTGGGTTTTAAAGTACATATCTATTCTTTCAGTAGGGCATAGAAAATTCCTAGTTACAGTTTTGAAAAGCTAAGAAGCATTATAATTGAAAAAAAACCCCAGTTGAAGTAGCTGACATTCTTGATGTTTTCATACAGGACTGTTTTATTTTTAAGGAAGTGTAGCAAGTCTTTCTGTATTAACCAAGTAGAAAAAGAAAACCTTTAAAAACAAGTTAGTAGACTGGATACCTCAAAAATTAAGTAGTTGGTTTGAAAAACAAGAAAAACCCACAGTTTTTTAACAGTGTATTTAGGGCCAGATTTTTACGAAGAAGAAATCCAAGGCTGTGGATAGTGGGATTTTTATTTTCCATAAGCGCTTATGCATCTGGCTCCAGCTAAGCCACACGTAGGTCCTTATACTTCAATTGATGCAATACGAATTTATCACTCTGTTAATGGAGTAAATTTATAGTATGTCCAAAGATGTATGTGAAGTCAGACTGCATGACTTCTGTGTCAACTTTCACCTTTAAACGATGAATCTGCAATTTCACGGTACCTATGTAACGGCTTGAGTTTTGCTGTTTTCAATTTAAGTGTGTTTTTAAGAACATCTGGCCTGTATCTTCCTGCCTTGCCTGTCCCCAAGCCCCTTTTGAAGGAGAAAAGGCAGAAGCAGCAAAAGAAAACAGAAGCTTTTATTTAAATCAAGTTCTCCTTTGCTTGTGAAAATCAAATAACCTCAGCTTTATTTCTTTTGGGCATCACATCAATAATCAGTTTTCATATACACTGGCATTGTGGGCAAGAGAAAATTGCTTATAAGGGTTACTGATTTCTGGTCTCTAGCAGCAGCGCTAGATATATAAATGCTGAGGTATTAGGTACTTCCACAACACGTGGAAGGATAAGTAAGCAAAATGGGGAGGTTATTTGGTATGTCTGTGTCACATGCTTCATTTAGAACCTTACTGCCCTATTCTTTCTATTGGCAGTTTAAGTGAAATTAACAGTTTAACAGTGCACTGATACAGAGTAGTAAAGGAGAATTGTTTGCTCAGTCAGCAGAGATTTTGGCTGACTAGCAACTGCCACTTTAAGAGGGGAGTGTAATGTCTGTCAATCTCTAGTAGAAGTATGCATCTTGTCCTAATTTGGATGTAATAGCAAGGGCCAGATGGTGCAAAGTCATCAGCAGCTTATGTGGGGGCCATTTGGGCAGTGTATTCAATTTTGACAAGCAGGCAGGTCTTATCCTATTGCCTGTCTGACCATATGTAGCTGTTTTTCTAACGAGGAGAACTGAAACAAAAATTCAGATGCACTCATCTGTGAGAGCATTCATGCATTTTACACAACCTGTTGTTGATATTTTTAAGATTTTCGTATCTACGATGCTGTTTTCATTATTTTTAAGAACAGAAGTGTTGCATTTCATACAGTATGATTGACAGTTTATGGACTAAGCCATCTTTGCTATCAACAAGTGTAGAGCAAATACACTGATATTTAACTTTAGACAGAAAGCTAAGAATCTCCAAGATGCAATGTTTGTATTTAGTGCTGCTCAGTTATTAGAATCTCCATGTTCCATTTATCCTGATGAAGAATAATCCTGCCAATTAAGAAAAAGGAATTCCACTAGAAATCAGCTTGAGCTCCTCAAAATATGAATGATTTACTGGTTAATATATTTGATTCTGGTTTTTTGCAGTATTTTTAAAACCTTCACCCCACTGTATTTTAACCATAAATGGACTAAATTCCTGGTAAGATGAATCAGTAGTAAAACCAATTCCTGTATCTGCACACTGTAGATGTGGGTTATTTTAGTGACCTTGTGATTTCTTTTGTAGGTTGACAGGCTTGAAGCCAAGGTTGTTGAACCTCTGAAAAGTTACGGCACCATAGTGAAGCTTAAAAGGGTAGGTTAAATGTCTGTTTTCTCACAAGGTACATTGGTGTTCTGGACACTCGGTTGCAAACTTCTACTGTATCATAATATATATAAATGAAAAGGTAAAATGATCATTATTTGATGGTATTTTACATACGAAAATCTTAGTGTGTTCATCATGGTTAGAGTAGCTTGTGGCATCACATCTCAAACTAGCATTTTTCATGGTTTTGTTCTTGTATCTTTTCAGTACTGTGAAGAACCGACTAGGGTGTGTTGAACTCACTGCACAGCTGTCTCGGTTGTTAGAGAAACAGGAAGGAAATGCATCCTGCACTTGAGTGCTACTGCGTGTGGTAGTCCTTAGGAGAGTTGTAGCCTACAGAGCCTGTATCCTAGAATTTGGTATCTTAATAGTCACTGTGAAACAAGTTTGTGAGACCTAGACCTGACTGAGTATTCTATAAGATGTAAATGTTGGGATCGGAAGACAAGTTTAATGTGTTTATGACAACACTGCTGAGGAGACACAGAGCGCTACTGCAGTGCTTGGGTCTTCCAGAGCATTGAAGATACTGTCTTGAAATGCATCCCCACCAATAGCCAGTAAATGTCAAGGGCAGCGGCAACTGAAGCCTGGTCATCCTTTGTAACAGGAACTGGTATTTCCTGTTGTCTTTGCCTGTCACAAAGCCAGAAATAAATGCCAGCATTACTTAATGTTTATCATAGCTAGTGAGTACAAGAGCGTTCTTCAACTGTAGGTGGTATTAACTATGTTATCAACATACCTTTGAACTGAGAGACACTTCACTAAAGATGTAGGCCATTAAATGGTTTTATTTCCTACCCCCAGTTACTTGGCAGTTACCATAAACCCAAGCTAAAACTTCAAATGTCTGGTCTTCAGTTATCATCTCTAACCACTGGGGTATTTTTAGTGAAAAGGAAGTTTTGTCACTGATGTAAAGCTAGCACAGGGTGCTAGCTGCAGGACTGCCTCACCTGTAACTACATGAGCCTATTAAGTAAAGCCAGGCAGAATATGTCATTATAGCACATTATAAAAAGGGGATGTTCTCACTGATACTTGTTGGATCTATTCCAGGGTGTCTACAGACTATTTCTGTGCTCTATATAAAAGGAACTGTTGCTGCTTCTGTTGCATTAAGACAGGAATATCCTGTGGTATCAAATGCACTAAAGAAGCCCAGGTCAATCAGAACAGTGTTGGCCTTTAACTGCCATCACAATAAAATTGTTTCTTTCACACCTCCAGGTTTACTATGCTAAGTAGCTATTTGGCAGCTTCAGTGGAAACTAGTTTAATATTCTTGTCCTGTAATGCAGCTTAATTGTAGGATTCTAGGATTTCTATTTCACTGTTCTATGTATCAGTCTTTTCTGCTTTTGGGCAACTCTGTTCCTGGATGCTTTTCTTCATGTAAAAACAGGACATCATAAAACCAAGGTGATCTACCTGCAGAAGAAACGATTGGTTTGCTTTAATAACTTCAGTGACTAAAGCAGGTAACAATACAGCGGTGGACTGTAGCTGTACTTCTGTACAGTTTGAAATTAGGTGGGTGACCAGAGTTCTTATGTGTAACTTGAATTCATAGTTCAAAGCCAGAGGGACTATGAATAATTTTGTATTCTCTGTACTTGTCCTTTATCTGACTGGCTATTCCGTCCCATTTGTCTTTGGTTATAATTAAACTATTTTTTCCAAAAAGTATCAAATCCTTGTCTGAAGATACTGAAGAGGAACGTAGTAGAGTTTGTAGTGTAGTTTTAGATAATGGTTAGTTGATGTTTGCGGTGGTGTTTTAAATGAAGGAGTTCACCAATGTTTGGTTCTTGTTATATATTCCACTGAGATTAAAGAGCTCTGTGATGGTCTGTTTTTTTTCTGGGTTTAGATGGTAGTAAAAACAATTATTCATTCTTTTCAGTTAGCTAATAATTTAGGCCTTGGCTCCTTCACCATAATGGCATTTTCCCAGCTTCTGAATATTTTGTTCAGGGTATTTTTCTGCACCTTGATTTTTCAGCATCCTGGACAAAATATATATGTAACTGTGCCCTACCTTTGTACATCCAAGACTTGCCTGTAGCTCCATCACTATAGCCACAGTAGCAACATATCTTTCTCAGGCTTTGGTTAGCAAAGAAGTGTGTTTGATGGAGGCTGTTGCTACAGAGAACAGCGGTAGAGAAGGGAACAGTGCTGTCCCTGTAGGTACTTCCAAAGTCACTATGTGCTAGAAAGAAAATGCTGAATTTGGTAATGGTAACTCTAGAACCCTAGTGGTTTCCTTAGCATTCTCAACAGTATACTGCATGGAAGTCAGAACTTTCAGCCACAACTTTAAATCTGATTGGCTGGGATGTCAGTACTGTTAGCACGGCCATCATTAAATAACACTAAACATGCATTAAATACAAACCTATTTTGTTCAGTGGTAAAAATAAAGGTATTCCTGTTTTCTACCTTTAATTTAAATTTTAAAATGTAATGCTATTTTTTTTTCTATTATTAGTCTTCTTGCACGGTTTTCATAAAGGAGAAAGGAATGCCCTCTCCAACAGTCTTTCAGACGGCCTTAAAGGTGGTGCAAACTCCCTTTTGAAAGAACAGCAGCAAAATTAGTTTTGAAGGACTAAAGATGAAGTCACTTTTATTATAAGAAACTATCTCTGTGTCCCTAAAGATGAAGCAAAATGACAGTCATACACACAAGGACATGCAAACAGACAGTAAGGATAGAAACAATGAAGAAGCTGCCATGTTTTGACCCTGACCTCATGTACAGACTCCCTGTTGAAGAAACACAGCATGTGGAAACTTGGCATGTTTGTGCTTGTCACTGACTAGTGGTCTGGACCAAAGGTCACAAGATCACAAAACTTGTAAAAGAGATGCATTCTTGGTTGTGTGTCTTCAGATGTGAAGGAGACCTACAACTATCTTAAAATCCTGAAATCCAAGGAAGGAGCACAAACAACTTCCCAGGATGATAGTCTTTAATCCACTCTGTTCTAGCCTTTTTAGAAGAAATGGTTTGAAATGCATGCCCAACTCCTGTCTCAGATTTTGTGAGGCTTGATTCCCTTGGGCTGTATTTCCACTTGTTCTAAGGCCCTGTTAAATTAGAGCCACCAAAACTAATACCATCTCCCACACCAAGGTCAATGGAGTGATAAACATCTGACTGGCAATTTTATATTCCGTGTATGCCAAACTACTTGCAAAACACAGTTTTATAGCATGAACAAGAATGTGAGAGTGGTATGTAACCATTCGTAAAACTGTCACATCCTCCTTTAGAAGTGAGAAGCATAAATATTTAGCAAGTTTCTGCCTTTTCTAGATCAGCAAGTTTCATCTTTTCTAGGTACATCATTACTAGGATGTATCTTGTTCCAACTGTATTTAGGCACTTTACTAACTTCATTTATAAATATGCAGTTTAACCCTTTCAGACATGGATTTTCTATGGCCCCTTAAGCTCTGTGTAGCAGTTTTGTGTTCTTAGTATTACTGACTGGTATTGACTGCTGCCTGTTTTGGGTTTTTTTCTTACTGATCTATTAAATGCCACTTTTTATTTCTAAGTGGCATCTTTATTCCATTGCTAAGTCTGCAATGGGCCTGTCTTTGTGCTTTGGGGATCTCGGCTTTTGACTATCTACTGTACTTTTCACAAAAAGCTGTAAATATTTTTTTCTCTTTTCCCCCCACATTTTAAACTGTAGTGTGCTAGAGAGAGTTGTGCAAGGTGCTAAATGCTCTTGATCTCCACTGACTTCTCTTTTAGGGGATCATATCAGTAAAATCTGGTTTTATTTAAAGCAGAATTTATGTTTTCTACGTAATGTTTGTGTGAAGAAAAGTGCATTTTGTATTTTCCTAGATCTATTTCAAACATGTCTAAACCGTTTTATTTCCAGAATGATCTTAAAGCAACTTTGACAGCAAAGAACCGAGAAGCCAAGCAATTGTCTCAACTGGAAAAGACACGTCAGCGGAATCCATCAGATCGACACATTATTGTATCCTCTATTTCTAATGGTTATAAGAAATATTTTTAAAAAATCTCAGGAATTAAATACGTTTAGAAAGTAATATGAGAAGAATGCTCTTTAGAGGGACTATTTCCAATATTGATGTTCAATCTTTCCTTAAACCTCATGATGTTATTGTAAGTTACAGCTTACAAGAGCTGCTTTGTTAGTCCCTTTTTTATTAAAAAAAAACTACAGAGCATTTGATATGTTTATGCAGAGACAGGCACAGATCACATCCGGGGATCTGGAGATTTTTGAAAGTGTAATCAGACAACTCCTTTTTTACTTATGTGGGGGGTTGGGGGATTTTTATTTTCCTTGTCACTTCGGTAGTTGTGCTTCCTTGTACCTAGATGATGCTCTAGATGGGGCCTGACTTTCCTCCAACTGAGATGAAGCATGAAAAGTTATTATTGTTAGAATACTCAGCCAGGCTACTCTTCCTTTCAAAAGACCAGTGACCCTTTGAAGTATGCTATTAGGTATCACAGAGGGAAAATAGCTTCCACAGAATTTCCATTAAAATCTCACTGAGGTTTCAAATTCCAAAGCAATCAGCATCTAAGAATGACAAAATAAAGGGGATCAAGGCAATCCCACAATTATGGTACAGCATTTAAATTTGCAATAATGTGCTGTTTATGTTTTATTACACTCTAGTATTGGACTCAGGAGTGAGGCAGTCTTAGTCTTCATTGGATTTCATCAACTTTATTTCAGAAATTAGGATCTTTCTAGTGTTTGGGGCACAGGACTGCAGAAAGAGCAGAAATGACTCTGGTGGTCCGATGCCACCCAGGGGAATTACGTTTTGTCTCTGCCAAAGAATTCCCATTTAATATTAATTAAAGCAGTTAAATTGATTACTGATTAGAATTCCTCATGTAATAAAGACAAACAGATGTCAGCCGTAGGGTTAGAACTTCAGCTGTGATGCAGTTTTCTTCCATTGGAAGTAAATGCTAACAGTAAGCTATTCTCCCTAAAGGGAGACTGGGAGCATTTTTCTCCCTCTTGTGCTAATTCCCAGTTGATTTCCTGGGTATGTGGATGGCACCTAGCTTCTTTCTTCTTTTTTCTAAGCTACTCCCAAATATCCTCCTGTGGCTGAGCTTCTTGTAACACCTGTGTTTTCTGTACTTAAGAGTCTGCCTGAAGAGTTATTAAACCTCAGTACAGTCTGGCTTTGCCTATGGCCAAAGGGATCAAATGCTGTGTATTGGCATTTTAAAGTGATCAACACAAAATGCATAAAAAGTACTGGGAGCAGGAATATATTCACTTGATCCTGAATATGTATGCAGGCCGCTTTTACGTTTGAGAGAGGCTTCACCATGTTTGTTATTTGTTAGCACACCTCCAGCAGTGGTTCTCTTAAGCAACTGTGATGTTTCAGCAGGTAACAGTTTTGGCCACAGATAACAAAGGCTCTGTACTCACTCCCAGATTTATGTCTATCTTATAAAAGATGGGGGTGGTACAGCTTTGAATCACAATTATTTTTTTATCCTGAAATGGTCCACCAAGGTTGTCTGGTTATTTTTATTATTTTATTATCAGTATTTAAATAAGTAAATAACCAAATTCCCAGTCCAAGACAAACAGCTGTCCTGAAATACTCTGGCCTGGATACTTGAATTCTAGCAAAGCTGGAACAAACTATATGTAATGTCTTACAGCAGGAAACTTCAGACAACATCATAATAGCACCCTCCACATACACAGAAGTTTTAAAATATCCAAGGTAGATACTTCACAATGGGAAAACAGATACTTCTATGAATATTGTTTTGCCATTGTTTTCCTTTACTAGCGTTTCCAGTCACAGGTGAGTGCTCCAGAAGAGAAAATACCAAACTGCTGTTGTGCAAACTATGCAGGTTCTGCAAGTTTAGACACTTCACTCTGCAACAAACAACATTCCTTTCCCAAAGCCTCTGTTCACAAAATCTAGCCAGTCTGTTTAAGATGGATTGAGAAGATACATTTATTTATTCTAGAAATAACATGCTGTATTTGCATGTGTAAGGGCTGCTTATGTGTAACAGTTGCCTTCATTTACAGAGAGTGACTGATAGTAATAATTGAGAATTCACAAAATGTCTTTCCTTACTCTGCTTCCCTCCTGTGTTGGCCCAAATTAAGAAAGGGAGATGAACACGTGACCATATATATTACTGAAGATGATTATCAAGTTTGTTTGCCTGGTAATGGCAGAATTGTGCCTATGACTTTAAGCCATTTTTGTAAGATTGTTTCAAATTTATAATTGTGTAATATGAGGTTAACAGATTTTAATCAGAGAAAAAGAAGAGACAGCACACTTTATGCCTTAGGTTTCCACATACCTGTAACATTAAAAACTAGATCTGGGAAGAATCTTGTATCTTGATTGTAGGATTCAATTACTTGATCCGTATACTACCCCCAAAACTCAGGACAAAATATATTATGATGATACTCACTAACAGAGGCTCTAAGTAAATATCGTCTTCACTAGTTTTGTTTGACAAGTAATACATGGACAATAAGTCTAGACCCACTCTTCAAGCTCTTAACATCCTTACATTGTTACTTTGTAATAGTACAAATAGTACACAGTTCTCAAACTTTACTTAACCAGAATAGCTTCAATACCTTTATTTAAATGCTAGTACGCATTTCTATACAGTTTGTAGTTATATCTAAGTAAAATACATATCTAAAATGCTTTTTGAAGCAACAAAATAAGAAAAACTGTATTTATGCATCAGGGACTGACTGATGTGTCCACTTCCCAGTGCCCTACTGCAGATGTTTTTTTATATAATATGCTAGTAATATAAAAATACAAAATACCTGAAATGCTTTTAGATCTAAAAATATTAACTCTAGTCCGTTGATTGAAATACTTACATGAAAAGTGAATTCATTCCAGCTGCTGCTCTATTGTATATTTAAATAATTTATAAAAACTTAGGAAGATGAGGTTCAGCACATGGAAAAGAATAATCCTAGACCCAGCAGGCTGGTGTGCTCTTGAAAGGAAGGGGTGATCTTTTCTGCTCATCCACCACTCTGGCCTGCACAGTCCTACCCTCTCCTTTACAGCTTTCAAAAGGTGTAAAGGCCCTCTCCTTACTCCTTAAAAAAAAACCCTCAACTTTTCTGAAGGGCAAACCCTTGTGCTTGTTTATTCCCTGAACTCAGTCACTGTCATCAGGCTCAGTGGAATTAGCAGATGACTATTAGCAGAACATAGATTAGGCCAGTGGGACTTTTCCTGACTGGCTGCAGCTAGTCATTTTTCACATTTCAAAAGTCACAATGGGGTGGAAGGCACCTTTATTTATTTACTAAGATGCAAACAAATTTACAAATACACTAACTTAGATGTGTAGTATTTTGAAAACCCAGACTTAAATGTTTTCATGGCAATTAGAGCAAGTATCTTTGTATCAAACACAGGACTAATTTCACCTTTATGTTACCTTTACCAGGCTGAAAGTGAATTGCAAAGAGCTTCACTGGATGCTACTCGAACAACTCAGCAATTAAAGGAAACCATTGATAACTTTGAGAAACAGAAAATAAGGGACATAAAAGTATGTCTTCTCACATTTCAGTGTGACATCACATTTCATCTTGCATAATATAATTCCTATACTCTTTGGCAAGACTAGCAATGTTTAGTATTAATTTAAGCCTACATAAATGCAAATCTTGTGATATTCATGAATATTTCATAATCCAAATATTTTGAAGTTTTGAATTTAAAAAATCAATTCATTATCCTTGCAGTTTATTGCATTCAGAATTTTGCTGTATCTAATTGTTTCGTGCCTGCACCTTCCAACATTTGCTGTGTTCTACTTTACTGGTAGCTGCATTTGTTAGTGGAATGATGTATGTCGATTAATATCAGCAAAATTATCAGAATCAGTGATAAGTAAATAATATATCTATCCATGCTGAGATTTGTGGGGGTTACTCCAGTTAAAATTTTTACCGACACCAAAAGCGCAAAATGTTTAGTAACTGCAAGTTTCTCTCTTAATGTAAAACATTAAGTGGCATAAGTCCCAAAGACTATAGGGACTGAAAACCACTAGCATTATGTGATCTCAGATTTAATTATAAAATTGTTGATGTAAGATACTTTTTGTTGGAGGGGAGACAGACTAAATATGGAAGAATGAAAGATGGGTTGAAAAAAACCAGCCAAACCAACGATGTAACTTGATGTTACACTAATATGAAAAAGATTGTGTGAGATCTGAAGATGTCATCATTAAGTAGGGGTTTTATATATATATTTTGTTATATAAAATGTCATTATCTGTAAATCATATATATAAAAATATATTATTTATATATATTTATAAAAACATACTTCTATACTGATATATATTATGTATTTATATGGAATATAAATATATACTGTATATAAATTACAGAGATAAATTTATATATTTTATGTAATTTAGAGATAATTTATCCCCAACCTGTTAAAAAAGATAAAAGTAAAGCAAAAAAAGATAAAGCAAAAAATCCACTGACTACATCTTGCAGATACGTACTGGGGAACATTGAGTTTTCAGCATGACATTTTATTCATTCCTAATGAGTCCGCACTTGCTTTTCAAGTGTTTACTTAGAATTTAGTATGAAATGACAACTGCGCAAGTGACAGCCCAGCCAGCATTTATATTTGATTTCTAAAATTCAGGTCTAACTACTTAAAATTACTTGGTATTGTGCAGTTAATTGTATCACATAACTACCAAGTACAGAATTCAGAAATTTCTTGAAGTGAAAATGTACTGCATTAAGAAAACCTTCTGTTTGCTTTTAGAACATATTTTCTGAATTTATAACCATTGAAATGTTATTCCATGGGAAAGCTTTAGAGATATATACTGCTGCCTACCAAAATATCCAAAATATTGATGAAGAAGAAGATTTACAGGTAAGAGTGATTAAGATTTGCTTTTCAAATTACATACTACATAAAAAAAGTTTCCATACTTACGGACTATCCATGTCACAGGCAGAAAATATAATGCATATTTCTGGTTCCCAAAGCAAGCTTCTTACATATACCAAGCCTTTTTTGCACTTCTGCAGCAAGAGCATGCAGGTTTACAAACTCAGAGGTCTTAAAAACAGAGAACTACAGTGGCAATCTAATCTTTCCCACAAAACACAAATAAGAGACTTTCCTAAATTAACTGCCACTCCCAGCTCAGCTCATCATAGCTCTTAAACAACACCTCTGCAGTGATCCCACTGTAAAGATGCACAGTAGCGATAATCTTAGACTGCTGTGATATGTTCTAAAGACTAATTACTTCATTAAAAATATCTCTGAGTTTTATTTGCTTATTTTTGTCTTTCAGTCATTTTTTATTAGACTGTTCTAGAATTAGGAGATATTTGTAATCAAATTGCTTTTTTTACCTTATGGCAGTTACACCTCCTTTTCAAGTCACCCCTTCTGTTCTCTGAGTTAGTCTCACTTTCCAAGACATGTTTTTCAGTCCTTTATTCATCTTGCAGTTCTTCTGGATGTTGGGGTTTTAAACTTTTATGTGGTATATGTGTGTTCAGCTTGTCAAAAAAGTTGGATCATTTTGGTCTGTTTTTTGTGTGTGTCGTTTTTTTTGGTAAATCTTATCAGTCCTTATTTATTTTTTATTTTCTATGACACAGCCGAAGACCAAGGATGGCAGTATTCATTTAGTGTAAGACATACAGAATCATGATTCTTTAGTGACAGTCACATTTGAGACTGCTTGGTATTTTTATTAAACTACACCATGGCAGTTTTGTAGTGTTCTAGTTTTACAATTAAAATGTCATGTGGCACCAATTCAAAAATATCCTTCAAGTCAGTACTTTATCTTTCACAACCAAATTTCGAATCTTTTAAATTGCCTGTTAATTGGACAATATTTACTCTCCATAAAAATACTGCCCATAATTCTACTATCTTCCTTGACTTTTTTAATAGGTGTTGCACAAACAGCATCAGGCTGTTAAGTCTTAAAATTTATTCTTTCTGTCTGTTGGAAAGAACTTATAATGTATATTATAGTTTCCCCTGTACTCTTAAGCTTAGTTTTCCCAAATTTTCCTTGAGCTGCACAGCTGAACATACCAGCTGAATTTTTTCTGATTTTTTCTGTGACTGGTAGCAAGATTTGCAGGTGAAGGGGCTAGGAGTTCATCTCCAAGAAATGAAGACCTGAAGGGGCTGGTACCTCTAGGTTAGCCTGAAATTCAGCTGTATATGTCAATGGGGAACTACTGCAGTTTTCCACCTGGTAAATCCCCTCAGGTCTTTTTGACCACAGTAAATGACAGATCTCAGGTTGAGCAAGGATGTTTCAACTGTAAGTGTTGATCAACTACTGTTGATGCAGATCTCTAAAGCAGGTTTAATTGTCCAGTGCTGCATTTTTGTTAACTTCAGTCTTGGTGAATGTGTCATGGCACCCAAGTCACAGCCTTCTTCATCTGAACAGGTTTTTCGGAGCTCACTTCATCCACCAGACTATCAATCTCGCTTAGACATAGTTCGTGCAAATTCGAAGTCCCCTGTGCAAAGAACTGGATCCTTAAAATCTTCACTGAGGACAGTACAGGTAAGAAAAATTAAATGCTAGATCACTGTATTAAAAGAATGTCTTAAGGTAGAGCCTTAGCTCCATGGAGATGTACATGGATACACTGCCTTTACTCAGTTCAGGACAGTTCCAAAGATAAAAAAGCTACTGTGCACCAGGAAAACTGTTTTTCATAGGATGGCTCCCCACTATGAAAAAATCTCTTTAGGGGTTATGGTCTTCTTTTAAACATGACAATTTCAGATAATTTTACACGATTTCTGAAAAGGCTATTTAAGTACTCATTATAATCTTCTGTAAATCCCTTTGTTTACTTGGCAATTTGAACTTGTAACTTCAGCATTTCATTTTATTGATGCAGGGTGGTATGCTGTAATTTAGGCAGAACTATAGCCGAAGCGAATGACCTTTACCAGATATTTTAAATTAAGCTTAACTATACAAGTTTTATCCACATGCATTTAATATAGTCAACTGTTTTGCACCTGCCCTCTAAGACAGCAAAGCATCATTTTAACCATGGTTGAAAATGTCTATAACCACTGCTCCAACACTGTCTGTTGTGTAAGACATGAGGAGGGAACTGTCATGCTTTCTGTAGTAGCCCACAGTGAAACATGCAGCTTAACTTAAGCAAGGCCAGTCACAACCTGTGTGCAAACTTAAGAGAATTCATTTTCACATAACATTTTGAGCAACAAATTGTCAGATTCTATTACATTTTTTAATTATTTTTTTCAGCATTAAGTAATCAAAAATTGAATTTTCATGTACCCATAAGTTCTAGCTTTATGGCAAAGTAACATGAATTAATTTCCTTTCTCACTTTCCTTACTCTGATCCATTTTGGCTCTTAGGTTTAGCTATCTGACTACCACCTCACTGCTACCAGTGTTAATATTTAATTTACTATTTAGTTAATTACAGCATGGTCAGAGGTACTTGGGTAGCAAGCAGAAAAAAAACCCTTAAAGCCAACATAGCACCTCCTATTTCAGAAATAGGACTGAAGTTCTTCAGAATTTTAGATGTTCTTAACTAGAAAAAACTTGGAAAATGAGTCTATCCAGTGCAATGAAGCTACCTTTAACAGGCTCAATCTGCAGCACTCCTTGATCTCCAATTACAAATCAGTGTTGTTTTTTTCTTCTTTCACAGAGTGAAACAGTGCTGTTTTAGGCATTTAGATTCAAGTTAACCCAGCTTCATCCAATTAACTCCATTTTCTGTTATATTCAGAGATTTGTAAGCAAGCATTTGCTTCGAGCTAAATTATGTACTTTGTGAGCATCAACAAGACTAACGATTTTTCTGCTTTCATTAGTTCAATGATCGCAGTTTGCTTTATGCATGCACAAAGAAACTTTTGTTACATACATAGCTGTATGAATTACAAGATCTCAGAAGTCAATTTAATAACCAGCACTTAAGGACTTTTAAAATAGGGGGTTGGTTTAAAAAAAAAAAAAAAAAAAAGGAAGTTTTGTCTTCAATACTGAAGTTTTATTATTATCACTGTGTATAAGAGATCTCAGAAAATATAACCAAAATTAGAGCTGCAGATGCCCTTAGAGAACTGCTGAACCTAAAATCATTTTTCAAAAGCTTTCCAGATGACTTGGATAACTATCTTTGAATTTAATGTTTCTTTTCTCGTGGGGATAGAAAAAAATATGTATTCTACTTTAAACTGTAGATTTTGCATCTTCTGTGAATAATCTATTTTCAATAGGAATAAGATTGAGCCCTCATTAGAAAAAAGTATAGATTGCAGAGTCTATCAGATGACATGAGAGCTTGACAGCTGGCACTTGTTTTTAACATTTGATGAACCAAAAAAGGATCATTCTGAAGGGCAAGCACTGATGGGCAGGGAAAGAAGTTCATACATGAATCAAGACTCTTCTCGTAAACTTTGAATAATTTATTCTCAGAACCATCTTAGAGCAGCATATTGCTGATTTTTTCACTTCACTGAAGAGGTTTGATGTCTTCCAGATAAAATTATGCCTTAATAGTCATATTCAGCCTGCTGCCTCACCAGGCAACTTGGAAAAAACCTGACTTACAGCTTCTTCATTTTTAACATTAATTTGATCAACACATAGTTTTCCCTATCCTGTAATAGGGCTCAGGATTATGGGGATTTTCTTAGCTTTAAAAATTCATTACTGTACTTATATTCTGTGCCATGTATCTTTCTGTTGGCACTGTGCATATTACTAGAAGTTGAAGGGTTAAAGGATAAACTACTTCCCCCACACGCACCCAAAGGAACAACCTGCAAGTACTTAAGATTGGGAATGCCAACAGAAATTTTTTTCTTTGAGGAGAATGAACAGTTGATTTACTTTTGTTGGATTTTTGCTTTGGCAGATTTCCAGTATGCTGAGAAAAGAGGAAGAAGAGGAGGAGGAAGAGGAAGATGAAGAGGAGGAAGATGATGAAGAGGACGAATTAGATGCTCAAAAAGAAGTGAGATAACAAAACTGTTCTAAAAGTCTCTTTTTTTTTATTGGGAAAAAAAATATTTCCCTTTATGTAAAGTATTTGTGTGTTGACCAGAAACTTCACTGAGGCTGCATTTTTTAAATTCCAGCAGAAGCAAGAATTGGCACTAATAGTAGAGTTCCAATTTCAAATAATGGAACAAAATCTGGTGAAAACCAACAATTTCAGTAGCTAGAAAATGAAGTATTTAAGTAGAATCCTGTATTATACTTGCATAAATGTTATACTGCAGTCACATTTGCTAAGACATGATGAACTTTGTGCAAAACCTGCACTAAGCTGACAAGCAGTTCTAAACATAAGGGTTTGCTCATTACTTTGACAATATAGCTTACTCTCTAGCTGCACACTGGATTTAGTAAGTCTTCTAGCTATACCTATCAGAATTGGTTTATGTGTCCTGAAGCAACTGTAGTACTCACCAAACTCATGACAGCAATAACTCTGTTAGTGGGTAGCCAAATGAAATCTTTGGACAGCAGAAGACAGGGAGAGGTCTACTGTTTTCTCATTCTCACCTTCTTCAGACTTGACTAAGATGACTTTTGATTCCTTTACACATACAGAATGAACGTTCACCAAGAAGGACCTAGCCCGGTATCTACATGGAATGCTGCTTTTCTTTTAAATAAAAGTGCCTTTATAATAAAACTAATTGATATTTTATATAGTTGCCATTTATCAGTTGACATGCTATATACAGTTCAAGTTTCATGTGTTTAACTGGTTGATTCAGTTACCAATTCCATTAAACATACAAGAAATTACACATTTTGAGTGTAATTTCTTACCCTGTTTGGAGATGGTGGTTGTGCATGTTCATTTCTGAACAGCATACAACTGTCTGCCAGAAAGCTACTACTAGATTGTCTCTGGCTTTAGCATCCACTGAGGAAAGAACACATGTATAATCTGGAATTTAAACCTGTAACTGGGAAAGCAATCTTTAAGTTATAACCAAATACTCGTAACAGTTACAGAAATAAATGAGGGAGTGCATTTTAAATATTGATGCTGCCTTTGTCCACTTATGCAAAGTATGCAATGCATACTTGTTCTGACAGGTCAAAAAACAGGTTTTGCCAAAAAATGATGTGATGAAAATACAAGTAAAGATTTCACAATATAGGATTGTTTTAAACTCAGAAAACAGTTTTACACCAGAATTACATACTATTGACAAGGAGTAGAACACTAATGACCAGGAACTTTACACCAGGTAACTAATTCCCCTCTATTTCTGCAAGTAGGGCACTTCAAAGAGTATCTGTATCTCAACATCAGAATTATGATGAGCATCACTTTATCACTTCATATTCAGTGAAGTCATGTAGTCCATCTCCAGAACAGATGGTTTATATATGTATGACTATACCAGGTTTTCATATCATATATATATATATGCAAATAACAATTATTTTTGTACTATGCCATGGAAAAGGAATTCTGGGAAAAAAAAAAAAAAAAGGAAGCAGTGTTTAATTTCCAATAAAAGATTAGCAGCTGGGGTACAGAAGGTTGGGTTTTTTTCCTCAGCAGCTTCACGTTCCTTCTCCTCCCCTACCTCACAAAAATCAGCTTTAGGAATTACAGAAGAACTTACAGCAGGGAAGAAGTACAGGTTGGGCAACTTTGTCCCGCATATATAAGGTTGTAAGTTTACATGTTGAACAGAAATTGTGTGACCTCCAAACTACACACTAAAAAGCCACTGACTGAAGTATTTTAAAGCCAGAAGAATTTAGAATGTAATTACAGCATCAAGTATTACCTAAGATACTTTTGCAAAGATTTTTCTCATGGCATGAGTGTGTACTGCAAGACTGACAGTAATCCATTTGCTCGTATGTATTTTTGACTACTGACACCTACATGATGTAGGCTTGTATCCATTCTTATTAAGAATATTTTGCCATTCTGGTGCATCCCTTTGGGACTAGGATTATATACTTGTACTCGTAAGATTATCCTATGTTACAGCTTTCCTGAAGGCCTCAAAGCTGCTTCTGTACATGATCACTATTACTAGTGTTTGACAATGGAGATTGTCCTCCTTTGTATCACACTTTTTGGACAGACAATGGTAGTAAAAGCAACTTCAGAGTGAGTGTTACTGAGGAAACTAGCTGTATTTTACATCAGCACCACAAACTGCAGCATTACATTTGTTACTCTTTTACTATAATGGATGATACTTAAAAATGAAAAGCAGTAATTCAAGCCATGTCACTGCAGACTCTTATTTGTGCTTTATACTTAAAAGTACAGTGCCTCGAAGCCATTAAACGTCTAAAGGTATAAAACCCTATTATCACGCAACGCAATGCTGTCACCACACCATGCACCTGTACCACCTGCTTAGGCAGAATCAGAATATGATGCCCACATACACACATGGAGGGGAAGATGGGGAGGGTGGAAGAGTGGGAACAGGACTGGGACAGCCCAGAACTAGCAAGATAACACCTATAAACTGAACAACAACTGTACGATTAACCTCTTTATTTAGCTGATATACACGCATCCCTTCCCCGTTTCCTTATGCTTGAGACCATCAGTGCATACTTTGCAGCACAGCTTTTGTCTTAGAGGCTTTAAAAAAAAAACTACTTCTTTGGCCTCATCTGGCTTTAAACTAAAGACAATCTATAGGGAAAAAAAATCATTTTAAAATACCTTCATTGTAATCTCTGCCATTATAAGCTTTATGACTCTGTATTCACTAAGGGTAGAAGTTTACCATCCCCAAGATTAATGGCATCTTATCAACAACTACTCTTTCTTGAGGATAGATGCTTTTTCTAAAATACTATCTCGCACTTAACTGGGAAAAGCCCCACTGAACTCCTGCATCTTTCCAGTATCTAAATCCTACTACAGTTGTGTACAACTCTAGAAGCATAGAAAAAGTTTACCTCATTATTTTCAGTGCTTGAAATCTGCTGTTTAGTAGCTAGAACTTTAAAACCAACAAATCATCTAACGCTGATTGACTGCAAAAGTTAGTTTCATTCACATTTACAACATGGCTGATAAGAGGCAAGAACTAGTAGTGAAGATGTTAGCCTACAAAGATAATCAAGATGAAGTTTTCAACAGCATGCTTAGCTCAGACAAGGTTTTTGAGTATTCTCATAAAATACCTTTCTATTCCTGCAATGTATTCTGGCTCCTTGATCTCTTTTATAGCAGCTATGAAATAAAAGCACCAATTTGCTGGGGTTTGTTTTAACCATTTGAATTCAGAGGAGGATTCAGAACAGTATGCTTCTGAAGCTAATTCCTACCAGACAACAACAAAAGGTATGCAGATGTTCAGAATTTTAACATTTGGCCACATTTAAGTTTCTTTGCTGAGAAATATATAGACCTGGCATTATCATTCAAAATGCTTTTTCTTGGTATTATTTACTTCTACTTCAAGTAGTTTACATGGCAACTTAGTAATAATGATGGTTTTACATAAAGTAATTAAGGTGATCAGTTACTGATTGGTAGTTACCGGAACAGGGTGCCCAGTCTCTATCCTTAAAAGCTAATAAAAATCTGACTGACAAGGCCATGAACAACCTGTTCTAGTTGATTAGGGATCTCCAGGTCCAGGTCCCAACCTCAACTACTCTACAAATTGTTTCGGTATTGCGTGAGCAAAGGTTAAAACCACTTTTCATCACCAAGTTGCAACTTCGTTGTCTTAGTTTAAGAGGGGACTAAAACTTCCTAAAATTCCTTAGTACTTCAAGTACTATCTTACATGGTTGTCAACTAAGCCCTTATCCACACAACCAGTTTCCTACTAAGCTTGAATTTTGAAGATGAAGTTTCTTCTCACACAGGTTTTTATTTCTTCCTAAAATGTAAATATGCTGCTACCAAAGTAGTAGGAGCATTCTACGTGCTAACATAAGTATTTGTTTTCTTATATAAGAAAATAAGGTAGTTGGCTGTCAGCATGGAAAACTAGTAAGAGATTGACCCAGAATGCATCTAGAAATCATCAGCAAGTTAATATTATGAACATGTGGAGCTAAAACAAGAGACCACTTAAGTCAGAATTCTTGATCCAATTCCAACATGAATTTTCTGCCTCAAGGAACTATAGTGAGTGGACAAGAAAGCCTATCCAACTGATTACTACAGGTTTTGTAATCAAACTACCTGCTCAGCAGTGTGTTGACAAACTGTAATAGTTCACTCTTTCCAGATAAGAGAGCCAGCATCATTCTCACCAAGGCTCACGTATGCTGAGCATAATAGTTAAGATCATTACCTACCCAACTTTTAAATATAAGACACACATTTAATGGCAATTTCTGGTTTTATTAAAAAAAGTTGCAAAGCCAGCTAATGTGAACAGGAAGCTCTTTTGTCTTCTTTTAACAGGAATGCCTGCAAACACATGAAACCGAACAAAACCTCACCAGTTTACACCAAAAAAAAAGAAATTAAAAAAGTAACTTTTTTAACTCCATAAAGCTAACCTCAGTAACATGTGTTAGTTAATAATGCAGGGAGCATTGGAGTTGTTTGAACCGTTTGTGTGGTTAATGAACCAGCACTTACATTTTTATTTGATGCAATGTAATGGGACATGGAATTAAAGCAAACTGGGAAAAAACCTAAACAAAAAACCCCAAACAAATAAAAAAATAAGATAAAAAAAAAAAACCCAAAACATTACAACTCCATGCCTTTATACCCTGGTGTAAGACATTCGATGTCCTCATGAATTTCCCAGCTCTCTGCTACAAGTAGGCACAATACAGTTCTCGTATCTTAACCGTACAAATATTTCAACCAAGAGCTGAACAACTGAACTAGATATTTACAACCGTTGATAAAAACCATTTTCTGCATCTTCCAGTAATTAAAAAAAAAAAAAGAAAGTTAAAATAACTGTCAATACTGTCAAATCTAGAAAGTCTTACTCTAGAGCATCTTTTCCTCCTTTACAGCAAGCTCAACTTAACTTTCCGTTGACCAATCGGCCTATCATTCAGTTCATTAATAGCAGCCATAGCTTCCTCATAATTTGTCATAGCAACAATGGCATCACCCGAAGGTAATCCTTGTTCATTGTACTGTACAGAAACTGACTCTGGGATCACTCTGTAGCCATAGAAAAAATCCAGAATCTCATTAGGAGTAGCTTTAAAAGGTAAATTTTTCAACCGAATAGGGACAACATGCTCAGAACCACCACTAAAATTTGGATCTGGCATAAATCTTCCTTCAGGAAAACCTCCCATTTTATTATTCCCAAACTCCATTCTGCCAAAAGGTTCACTGTCACCACCAAAATCCATGAGGGGTGGTGGACCTCTAAAATCCTTAGGAGGGCACATGAAGTCCTCAGGGGGGTGCCTAAATTCAGAAGGATGCCTGAAGTTTCCAGGGGGACCAAATGAATGAATAGGTGGCCCTTGTGGTGGCCCAGACGGTGAGCCAACTGGACCTCTGTCATACGGACGTGAATTACCCTGCATTTCATTTGGTGCAGACAACGGTACACTTACACCAAACTTCTGCATCTGGTCTTCAGATATAAGTCTTATTAATACCTCTGTTCCCAAGAATCTCCGACGATTTAAGTTTTCTGCTTTCATGGCTTGTTCTTCAGATTTAAACTTCACTAATGCTTCTCCCAACCCAACTCCTTTGTCATCATAGAGCAAGTAAATATCATCTTCATCAATATCAAATCTCTCAAAGAACCTTTGTACTTCAATTTTTGACACATCAAATGGAAAATTCCTTACATAAACACATGTCTTAGGGCCGGAATGACCTTCCCGGTAACTTTTCTCTGGTATGGCCTGTCCAAGATGATCTCTGTCCTGTGATCTTTTCCTCTCGCAAGAGTCAATTATTTTCAACATTGACTTTCTTGAAATTGGAAAAATGTAAACAGGACGATTGAGAAGAACCTTTCTGTGACATTCCAAAGCAGCCTGATAATCTCTCTCACTCCTTAACATCACAAAGGCATCCCTAGTCCTCCTCTGATGCTTATCTGTTAGAAGCTTGATCTGTTGGCTGCATATATCCAGGTCAGGAAAAAAATCTCTCAAATCTCTTTTCTCCAGATTAGTAGATAGATTTCTTAAGTGTATGTAATATTCCTGGTTGGGAGATGAACGAGAACGTGTTCTTTGTCTCCTTGGCGATCGTGAATGAGAATGCTTCCTTGAATGCATGTAGCCTGAACTTCTTGGAGAATGGTCTTCACAGAAAAAGTCATTGATTTCATCTGGCATATCCACCCTCCCACCATATTCAATCCACCGTTCCTCTGTAGATGGGCTAATTTCTATGAACCTCTGACCCATGTACTGTCTGTGACGTTTAAGTCCTTCTAAGGCATCACCTGGCGTAGCAAATCTTACCAAGCAATCGCCATTGTTTAAACCATTGCGATGCTTTATCATAATCACTCCATCCACATGTAGCCCAGAAAGGAAAGCACGTACTTCATCTTCTGTTGCAGAGTAAGGTATACCACGTAGAAATAAGTAAAGATCATCTGGGTTAAATGGATGACATGCCTTTCTTGACTGATAGTTTGATTTAGGCATACCTATATTACCATGCCTTGCACCATTGGCATGGAAACCAGCCTCCGGATGATCTGGGGGACCATAACCAGGTTTATTCATTCCTTTGGGAAAAGGCGTGACTAAATGTGGCATGTCTCCAACACCAGCACCAGAACCATTAGTACCTGTTCTTCTAGAGACAGCCATATTTTCTCGTCCCCCACGGTCAAATCGTTTCCGGCTCATTTCTATGGTATTCTGCATCTCTGCCTTGCTGCTGAGAAACAGCTCTATGCGCGAGTCCTTGATAAACCCTCCTGAACAGCTCATGGCACGCCGTGCATCTTCATCTGTTGCAAATATAATAAAAGCCTCCCCAATCTCTCCTCCAATAATATGCACACCTCCATCAGGAATATTCAATCCCAAGAAGAAACGACGAATATCTGCAGGACCCGCAACAACAGGAAGCCCCTGTAAACGGATGACTACAGCCATGCTGAGCTCAACCCACAGCAAAAATCACCTGCAGACAAAAAGGTACACATGATAGCACATCTTTAGTACTCAGCTATTACAGTATCTTAACACTTAAGAAGCTAGAGCCTTTTTAATGAATGTCCTTGTCTCAATCGAGAGAGAAGGTATCAAAAAAACTCACTGAAAGTTCATTAGTCAGAACAATTAGCTGCTCCACCAGCACATGTACACAAGTCTATCAATATTCCCTACCCTAGGGGCAACAGAATCCACCTAAGTCACTCCTCACCATCCACGATACTTAAAGAACACCTGAAGTCTTTCATGGCGTAGTTACTGTATGCCAGAAATCTCTGCCCAGTCCTAAGGAACAAAAAAAATCCTGTTTATTTTTAAACAGGATGCTTGTGATCGTAACACGGAAAATACTAGATGATAAAAGGAGAAAGAAAAAAGAGTAACTGTATCACTGGAAAATGAAGTAATTCACCAACAGTGATGACTTTACTGCTTCGACAAATTGTTCTACCCAGTGATCAGTTCTGTTCAATAATGTATGTTTTCTCTGCATTCAAAAATGTTGCGTCTTTCATGTAGTCAGAGTGTTAACTGCAGCAGCCACATGTACTCAGGAGAGCATATCCTAGCTCCCAGCCACAAGTGCAAGAAAAAAAAGGCTGAGTATGATCTTGTCACAATACTCAGTGAGAAGTGTTAAGCTTTTGGCAGCTTACCTGTTTCTGCTTTGAAGACCTGACAAATTCTGTAAAATCAACTTAACTGTGGAAAGAAAATGAAACATAATTAATGGCTGATTATCTGTACTTTGCCTCATATACTGTGTTACACTGCTGCAGCTCATCCTTAACAGTGGCTAATATTAAAGCCAAGCATGTAATGAACCCACAATCTGGGATACTACGAAGAACTCCTTCCACGTCCCAAGATGCTATGCACTGCATCTTTGTGTTTCCAGTTTAGAAGAAAAAAAGAAAAAAAATCACAGTTTTAGTTGACTTCTGGAAATGATGAGAGCACGATGGGATTACTTGGTCATCACTTGCGACACTGAACTGTTGAAATGAAACAGACTGACAGTATATCGAGGGAAAAACTCTCAATTCAATTCTTTCTGGTCCTTGAAAAATGCGTAAAGTCCACCTCAAGGTTACAGGAAGTGTCCATTCTTCTGAAATCCATCTGCTTTCAAAGTTCACAACAAGAGTATGCTACTCACGAACCCAGCACTGCACTTAAAGGACACAGCAGAGACAATCAAATGAAAAAAAAACCACCAAAAAAATCCAATATGAAGAAACTTCAGGGAGCACTTCAACTGCAAAGCAAGTTTCAGTATTTTCTCTCTATGTTTACTGCCTTTCAAACATAAGAACAAGAATCACTTTGATAACACCAACTTAAACCTATCCTGATTTTCACCATTATCTAACACCACACAACACATAGCACCGCACTCTCAAACACAAGCTTCTGTGCCAAATGATCACATCCCTTTAAAAAAAAACCAAAACACCGAAACACCAAGATTCCAGTGCTCTAACAACTGTTTGTCGCTTCCAGTGTACAAACCCCCGCTCAATAACAAATGTAAAGCACTAGATCCTGATCTACTGATAACAGTAACTATCACTCCACATGTTTTGCAAAACAAGAGCAAACCCCAACTTCAGTAACTAATGAATTCTACATCACTTCTACATGAGCACTTTGTAAGCACAACAAACTGAAAAAAAACCCCTGCCTACGTAGTAACTTCACTAAAGATCACCTGTTCTCTCTATTTCTGTGGCGGGTTGACCCCGACCAACAACCAAGCACCCACACAGCCACCTGTTCACTCCTTATCCCCACCAGTGGGATGGGGAAGAAAACAGAAGAACAAAGTCAAGAAAACTTGTGGGTCAAGATGAAGACACTTTATATTCAGTGAAGATGAAAAAAAAAAAAAAAAAAAGCAAAGGAAATCACTCATCACCTCTCACAGGCTGAGGTCCACCCTGCCTCAAATAACAAGCACCTTGGAAGTCAATGAAAGAATCTCCCACAGAAAAACGCAAAATGATCAAACAAGAACCTTCTTCCTCTACCTCAGTTTTTGTTACTGAGCATATTACATGGTACAGAATATCGCTGTGGTCAGTTTGGATCAGCTGTCCTGGCTGTGTCCCCTCCCAGCATACTTGCCAGGGTGGCAGAGTAGGGAAAAAAGAAAGCCTTGACACTGTGGATACACTGTTCAGCCATAGCAAAAGCAATGATGTGTGGCCAATACTTAGCCATAAATCCAAACCACAGAACCACAAGGGCCACTATGAAGAACGTTAACTCCATCCCAGCCAGACCCAGTACACGTTGTAATATTATCTTCTCAACAGATGTGACGACAATGCCAAAAAGCAAGGAGAATTCAGGGGCCGAATTTTCTTACAGGACCTTCGTGTCTTGAAAAATCAAATCCGCTGCCCTGCTACTTCATGATGGATTTAACCTGTAGTATTTCTGAATTTCATAACTGCATTCTTATCCCAATTTTTAAGCAGCATTCGGAACAGATCCCAGTATTTCTTCCATGATAAACAGCAAGTTCTCCATGATGCGCCAAGGATGCAACATACAACCTTCAGTGGTGAAAACTAGACACAGCGATTCCAGACCATGATGTAATATTTAAGAAGTCCACAAAGAGAAATGCCAGTTCAAATAAGAAGCTTTTACTGACTGAACGTTCAAGCATTGGTAGACGGTGCAGACAAGCCATCCAAGAATTTAAAGTGAATTTAAAAAATTGAAGAAGAGTAACTTTGGGGTTGAAAGTGCCACACAAAACTAAGCCCAATTCATTAACTCTGCAAGGGCCTCAAAGATCACGAATTTAAATTTTAAGTAATTGACAACTTCATGCCACCAATTCAAAAGCACGGAGGTGTGCAGTTTTAAGAAATCTTGTATTTTAACCGAATTAACTAGAAAACAGTACTATGCCTATACCTCTACATCCTCAGCAAATTCCAAACTAAAACTTAACTAGAAAAAAACTGCAGCTTGTAATCACTGTAGGAAACTAAGCCTGCACTAGACTAGTGTTTTTACGGTGACGTAGAGATTACATAGCCTGCATGCAGTCAATATGCAAACTACAACACTCACAGAACTACCCCAACCATACAGCTGAACCAATATAAGAACTGGGGGATCAGAGAATGAATTATTATCTTAAACCTCTTTAAATAAGCCTTAATAGTCGAAGTAAGCTGTTGTTACCGAGTTTTCACATCGCTGAAGGAAGATGCGCGTGAGCTTCGCCGCAGGGCCCGCTACACGGCCGATGTGAGCACGGCCAGCTCCGAGCGCTGCGAGCTAGAGAAAGCCAGCGAGACGCCCGCAGCGGCCCCTACACCGCTCCAGCCACAGACGGCGTCGCACAAGCCCGGAGAGGCCGAGATGGCCGAAGCCCAGGGCCGCGGGCGGCGAATGGAGAACAGGCAATGAGGGGAAGAGGGTGAGGGGGAGGCCGCCAAGCGTGCTCTGGCCCGCCAACAGCCAGCCGTGGTCCGACCCCGCGGAGAAGCCCGGCCTCGCCACGGTCCCGGGACAAGGCTTAAGGGAGGAAAGGTGGTGGGCAGCCAGGCGACATGAAGAGGCCGCGGCCCCGGGAACGATCGCGCAGCGACTCCACGAGGGTTAGGCTGCTCAGAATAAGCTGAGGGCGCGACCCCCACGCCCCTGGTTACACGCAGCGTCCCAGGAAACCGGGCGCTCTCCCTCATGCCATCCACCCACCGGACACGCCACCAGGACAGGCTCCGCGCCGAGCCCCGCTGCCCGCAGTCCCCGGCACAGCACCACCAAGATGGCGTCCTCCACCGCCTGATGGACTCTTCTATAACAGTTGGAAGGATTGTGTTTCTCAATGGTATCAGATGTCTGTGGTCCTCGCTGTGCTCGTTTCTTGCCACACAACTCCTTACAGCAGGGTTTGCTGTGTGCACATCCCACTGTTTGCAGAGATGATCTGTTTTTGTTGACTTCCCTTTCAACGCTGCTGCAAGAGGAGAGAGGCACAGGGGGAGGCCACTCCAGAATGCACTTGCAGGGAGTAATATTGCAGCAGCATGGGGTAAAAGCTTCAGTTTCTTTCCTCTCAGTCCACATCATGATACAACTTGAAAGGAAGCCGTGCTGTAGGGTGGGAAGGAGGAAACTCACACTGTTGGCCTTCCATCTGCCTTCTGTCCCTATGGCTGCAGACCCACCGAGGAGATGCTTTGCTGGTCAGTGATGGACTTCACAGCTCGTCATGCTGGAAGTGTCTGAGATGCACGAGGAGTTTCAGGGGAGCACATTCTGCATCCTGACTTCATGTCTGGCTTCTGTTTCTGTCTGTTATTCAATCATTTCTATGCTAAATGCAGTGCTAGGCCATGGCTAACTTTGTTGTACAGAGCTGCGTTCATTCCTCTCACCAGGTCCTTAAAAAACACCTTAACTAAATGCAACCAAGGCTACCTCAGTGGCAGCTGCATTGCTTGGGGTTTGCAAACCTCTTTCAGTATCTTCGGCTTCCAGGGAAATGCAGGCACATAAATGATGCTGGAGTTGAGCAGCGCCCATTGCCTGGCATTCCCATACAAGGTCTATTGAACAGCTGGTTCTGAAAATTAGCACTCTCAATTATCCATGTGTGATAACTGCCAAGAGCTACCGTGGATTTGTCATTACCTGCAAACCTCAAGTCAATATTAGCTGTCTTGCTAAAACATGCTTTACTCCAACAGAAACTATGGGCTCACTGTAGAAACCAGTGAAGATCCATGGCCTGAGTTATGGAGGATGGCCAGGGAATGGTCTCATTTAACCTAGCAAATCTGTGATGAAAGTTAGTGCAATATTTAGAAATACAGGAATTTGAGCCTTTTTCTGTAGGAAGAGCTCCTCTATGAGCTTTTATCCATACAGATGTGTGTGTGTGTGCAGGAAAAGGGGTTCCTCTCCAAAGTATGTGGCTTTAATGGCCCTGAACGAAAGAGTTTCAGGAATTCTGTCACAAGGGCAAAAGTGATGTGTATTTTGTAACATGATTCCTCAGCTGAGCCCTGGTTGGTTCCCTTCCCTCTCACTTCCCCAATGGAAATACACCTTAAACCAGCTTGGTACAAAAAGCGTCTGCTTCAATCACTGCTTTTGCCAAAACTTAGGGAAAATGGGAACAGTATTTTCCCAATGAACCCTTTTGTGCCAGCTATGACTGTGGGGGCACCGATGGACTCTGCAGGATGATGGGTTCTGCAGTGCACAGGCTGGAGGTGGGATGCAGAGCCCATATCCTGGGTACCAGCAGATGCCTCGGCTGCTCTCCCCCCGTTAACAGCACACGTGTGTCACAAGGCAGAAATGGCAAAAGAAAGGCAGGATTTTAGCTCCTCCATCGCTCCTGTGTGGGTGTCCTGACTCACCAGGGAAAACCGAAGGAGGTAATGAAGGGTTTGGCGATGGATTTTTCTGGAGGAGGACACAAATGAGCAGTGCTGCGGTCAGTGCCGGCGAGCAGCTGCCTGGCTGAGAGCTCCCAAGCCACATTTGTCAGTGATAGAGCAGGCTAACTAACAGCCAGGAGTTGATGCTTTAGCACAGAGAATGAAGAGAGGGGAATCTGCATGGAGGCCCGAGCATCAAAAGTGCTTTTAGTGCAGCAATCAAATTTGACTGCATCATTTCAGCAGCTCCTCTGATTTGATCACAGCCCCGTGTCCTTGGCAGTAAATGTCACACCCCATCAGAAGGGAGCATGAGTTAGGGAGCCCGGGCTGGAGTGGTCTCCTGAGCTATTACAGGCAATGCAGGGCTGCACTTCGGTACCCTTTTATCAATGCAGATTTCTTCTGAAGGTGGCCTCTAATTAAGGGTTTGCTGACTGAGAGGATCTAAATCAAGCCCCACCAAGGGCGAAGCTTTCATTTGTCGTGCTCTGACATTACAAACTGGGAAGTCAATTACCGGGCCCTGACTGGTTCCTTCACTCAGCCC